GGCAAGTTGTCATTGGCTGATGTTGCATCGTCAGAACTAGAATTCATTCTTTTGCATAACTTGACGACAAAGGTGATGAATTTGCCAATAAGCATCATTCCGGTTGCACTCAAGATACCATACATCATTGAGTGCTTTATTTCTTCCTCTTTCTGCTGGTCAAGGTCAACGGTAGACATGTCATCCTGTTCGCTATCACTCATGACCGACTGGTTATCTTGGTCCTCCGCTTCATCAGAGTCTTCATCCGTTCCTTTTTTGCCGATTTCCATTTCTTTCTCGTCCATGAGAGGGACGTCTGCCATCACTCCTGGGTCACGCTCTTCCTCATTATCTATGTTGAAACTGTCGTCGTTCATGTCCAAGGATTGTCGACTAAACTGAGAGCGCCGCGAGTGGAGACTCACTTGGAGGAGGCCAGATGTCTCACTGCAGACCCAGGCATGAAACCATAACAAATGGAAAAAGAAACAATGTGAGATCGGCATCGATTAAACAGGCAGCTGCGGTTACACTGGGTCCTATCTGAAGGGAACATATTTGGTGGCCAATGTTTGACACTTACGTTGCCTCGGAGTCATCTTCGTCGGCCGATAGCAGGCCGCACTGGCTTTCTACGTCGTTGTCGCCATCGGATCCTCCTTCCTTGGACACTCCTTCCTGCAAAACACGGCTTGATTCGTTTGTCGGCCGATCCGCTTCGTCATCCGAATCCTCTTCGTCTTCGTCTTCGTCTTCGGATAACATGCAGCCCTGGCTTTCAATGTCAGTGTGATCCTCCGACTCGGATTGTTGTTGTGGCGCTTCTTGAGCTCTCATCAAAAAGCCAATACTTATGGAGCCATCGGACTGTTCATGGGGATTCACGGCTTCGTCTTGATGATCGGTGTGGTTGATAGTAGCTACCGGTGTGGTTGCAACGGCATCGTCTTGGGGATTATCCGTGTTTTGCATGGTATGGGCGAGCTTTGAGATTCTCGTTCTGATCCTCGGGCTCCTGTGGGGATGTGTGGCTGCTCTGATCTTATTCTTTCAGCGATACAAAGATAGCAATCGATTGCCAGTGTCTCTTGTGTTTGTGTTCAAATAGCTTGCTGTGGGTGGAGGCTGAGTTGCGCAGCCTTCTGTGTTGCTTTGGCAGACTCGGACAGCAATCAAGATGGGATCCCGGGAGTCCCCTGATGATCCTTCAATACCCACAGTGGCCATTTTAAGTCGCAAGCGCCGGCACTGTACCGGTACAGTACATCCCCATCCGTGGCACCTGGTACAAGCCTCCACGTTCTAAGGAGCTCAAGATAATTCGCGCGCGCATATATGCACGCCTATTTTAAAAACTATGAGCGCAAATACGTGCTCATCCAACCTTATCGCTACTGTAGACCCTCTAGCTAGAGTCTGATTTCGTGGATCAAAGATGCAATATTTGGAATCTCCACGAAATTTCCATTCTTATCCATGTGCCGATCATCATGATTGGACTGAAAATTGGAAGCTACGGGGTTTCGAAAATCGTGCCATTTTTCGTTGAGAGCTCTCGCAACAGAGAGGTCACAATGGATGCTGACAATGAGGTTGAAGATAATGGCTACAGCCAACACAACGCCCATGCAGCGGGCCTATACATACAACAAGTGGTTGTGGATGTATCTATGATGGCAGCACCGCCCATGCCGGCCTTTGGCAGGAAGGGCTCAAATGGCTAAGCAAAATGGAAATACAGTGAGCCAACGTGAAACACAGGATGAAACACAAGATGAAGAACAAATATTGATACAAGAAACTCAAGCCCAAGATACATAGGCCAAGAAGAAGCATACCCAGAAGAGGAGGATTCGGGTTGAAGTTGCTGGTCGCATCGAGTGATATCTACTGGAAGGATGACAATGAGATCAAGGTTCTGTTCAAAGCAGTATTCATGCAAGATCATTTGTTGGATGGGCAGATTGTCGCTTGTCCAAAGGCAGACAACGACAAACAATAGTACACAATCTCCTGGAAAACGAGTGAGACTGGTGCGATGAGATTATGCCATAGGAGCCATAGTATGGGTGCGGCGCAGCTGTGCTGGCTCAATCTGATGGAAAGATCGCTGCTGCATCTGTACACTCTTTCAGTACAAAGAGATGTATCACCACCAGACAAGATAGGAACAGCTGTAGAGGACATAGAGTTCCTCTGCAAGGAAGGATGATGCTGTTCCTCATTCAGGACCTGTCTAGACAGATGGCTTGGTCTATACCAGCCGAAAGAGATGCATGTATCTGTATCCTGCATGGCTGGATGGAGTTTGTTGCAAAATCAGAGTTTGTATTTATGTTATAGTTTAAAGAAGTAATGAAGAAGAGTTGACCTGAGAAACAGACCCAACAGCACAAGTAGAGCTCTGCAGTAGACCGGATCCTGTATGGCCAGTGCTAGGGTATTGAGCAATTAGACTGTTCAATCATTGCTTCCGCAGTGATTGAATAGCATTGCACAGTGATTGAATAGCATTGGCTGCCAGCTTTGCCTTTCCAGCGCCAGTAAAGGAGATCTCCATCAAACAGAGCTCTCCATTTCAACCTACCAGCTGAGTTCCTCTGGAATTCATAGTGGTGTCTCCGTGAATTGGGTCAAGAGCTCTTTTCTTAAGGACCAGTACCAGGAGAATATCTGGGAGTGCATTACGGAATACCATAAGAGGAAGCAAGAAGACAAAGCAGAGGAGGGGCTTATTGCTCGGGCCTCATTGCTCGAGCCATGATTGGTTGATCAAAACGCAGAGGAAGAAGAACAGCAACACAAACTTTCAGCGGGTGTCAGCCACTCCTGCCGGAGCAGCCATTGCATTTGCTGCCCTTCGAACGTCAGCTTCTAGTACAGTGAGCTCAGTCTCCAGCAGCCGCAGTTGTACTAGCTCCAACACTCGTTCTGTGGCTAGAACTGCTTCCGATTAGCCAAGCAATGGGTCAAGCACCAGGATGCATAGTTGCATCGGGTCGGTTCCAAGGAGACTTCCAAAACAGGACAGCTGTGGGTCACCAACCTGGCTTCACTGCTCATCCAGCAGTGGCGGAATCTGTGGGAAGATCGCAATGCTGTCAGGCATGGCAGAGATAAGGAGGAACAATGGAAGAAGAAGCACGAGCAGCTTCAACGGGAGGTGAAGCTCATCTATGAGAGGAAGGCGGATCTGATTCAAGAGGAGGAGCTGGTCGACTTCATCTTCAAGCGTCCTCTTGATGAGTAAATGGCAAAGGGCCCCGGCGACATCAAAGTGTGGCTAGCCAATTGGCTGCCGGTAGTAGACAATGCACTCAGAGATGAGCATGCATGCAACGTGCAGAATAATGAAACAGGGTAACTACGTACCATGGGGGTCTTACCATAGAAATAGATGGCAATCTAGCCAGGGTAGTTAGATAGTAGCAATGCACGCTCCGGAGTTTTTCAACTTCTCCGGTGGGGGGCTTGCACTAGGCTCGTTCCTAAGTGGGCACCTTCGTGTGTCTGAGGTATATGAGTTCGTTACGGCACGGTTCAGCGGATCGTCTAATGAGGTGCAGCCTACATAATAAAATTTGGTTATTTACTAATGCCTTCTTCTAATTCGCCATGGGCTTTTGGATGGTACGTGCCTTCTTCATTGTCGATTTCTACAGTGAAAGGGTTCTTTGTCGCCTTGACGATTTAACGATTTAACGATACAGTGCTCGCGACCCAACCAGTGGCCTTTCCCAACCAGAGGAAGCTTTATGAGGATGGGGTAAAAATGAGGTTTCCATTGTCCCTCGGCCTCAGACTGAGTCGAGTCAACTCACTCCTGCGGGCGCTCTTCCGAAACCCGAAATAGAGAAGCAGAAAACTACGTCTCTGGTACCAACTGGTACCGGCTCTACTTTTACCGGAGCAAGCTACCGACTCAAGTTGCAACACACTCGAATATCCGCCTTGATGCCCATCGCACTTGGGATTTTGAAGGAAGGGGTCTTTAAAAGCCGATCCTAACGGTGATACGCGACCGACACACGGGAAGTTGTCTAGATCTGCTCCAATGGGGTATTGCTGGTGGGGCTCCAATACCAATACAATACCCAATGCCTAGGACGGGCTCTCAATACCAAAACAATACAATACAATTTTCAATACAATACAATACAATACAATACAATACAATTATATTGAACCTAGCCCTGGAACTATCTCCTTCGCTCCCTTCGCCCCACCACCTTCGAGTGATTGAATCATTCAATCTACAGTACATGTAATCGTGGGTTTTGTTGTCCCTTGGCTTGCAAAACCTGAGTATTAACTTAGTACGATCGAACAGAATCTAGAGCAATGCAACGCAACCATCGTGACCCGCAACAATGCTTGCAACTTGCAACCACTCTCCAATCTACATCACCGAGAAGCGAGACTCTGCCGGGAGCATCTGCTTTTTCGTGCTGTCGCATCAGCCTTTGCTGAAGAAATTTATTTAAAAATACATGTGAGCCATCTGCCAGGGGCATCTGCTTTTTCATCGTCCCTTCTGCTTCTTTGTGCAGTTGTGCAGTTTTTTTGCTGTGTAATCTTGCAGCCGTGCAGTCGTGCAGAGGCTTGCCGCGATTTCTCAGCACTTCTCGTCGAGACATGTGAAACTTCGCTTCTGCTGATAGCTACCGTACTACCGGTGGTAGGTACAGTACGGTATGCCATACCGGTACTGAACCGTACAGTCCGTCCCCTACATTTTCTACCAAGGCTATTTTCCAAGGCTAAAATCCAAAGCAACTGATGCATGATCCAACAATCCAGAAGAAGAGACTCACTTTTTCTTGGATCGTCAGGAAATCCAAACGCTTCGAACTACACGTAGCTAGCTAGCTAGCTAGTAGTAGACTCCGAATCGAGTTTACACATCAAGAACGAGACAAGACGATGTCGGAAAAGGGCAGCAAGGCGATGAAAGAGACGGAAGAATTCGCCCGATCAGAGTCTCCAGAGGCAGCAGCAGCTCCATCGACACAGGATACCGCTACTACTCGTAGTAGTGGTACTAGTCCTACCCCATCCACGAATGCCGTCAACACAGCCAACACAACCAACACTTCCAAACAGGGTCTTCGTCGGACGTCAGAACAGTTGGTGGAAAAGATCGATGCCCTACACGGAAGATTCTCGCAGTCTGTCGCCGTCCCTCCCACCGCCGCCGCCCACCCAACCGACACAACCATTGCAGCCAACAATCAGAAGGGACTTCATCGGACGTCTGATCAATTGGTGGAAAAGATTGATGCCCTACACGGAAGATTCTCGCAGTCTGCCGTCCTCTCCGCTTCGACTATCTCTGCACCCAACAATTCGAAGGGGCTTCGGCGAACGCCGGAACAAGTGCAGGGAAAGATTGACGCCGTCCGTGGAAGACACTCGCAGCCTGCCGTTGTTTCTGAAGCAGCGACTAAGGGGCTCCAGCGAGGTGTCCACGGATTGGCCAGCAAGCTGGATGTAATACGAGGAAGATATGAAACGCCACTGGACGACAGTGTCACACAGACCAGTTGCGATCAAGGTCGACCATCCACCACTGGACGTGGGCTAGCCAATAACAATCCACGGAGTCTTTCCCAAGCGACAGTGGCAACGCCAGCTAGAACCGATACCGAATTTGTGTCTGCGGCTCCATCCGCCAACCATCCTCCAGACATGGAAAGGAGTCTTTCCCAAGAGACAGTGGCAACGCCAGCTAGAACCGATAGCGAATCTGTGTCCACGGCTCCATCCCCAAACCATCCTCCAGACATGGAAAGTCTGGGCAATCATCAATCACAATCCAACGTCCTGTCCATTCCCGACAACATGAATGATATCGAAGGTCAAGTTGTTGGCGCAGATCGTGATCCCGTATTCTTTCCACCACAAGACGACACGGATACATATTCTGATTTAGCTGTGGCAAGGCGAGTGTCAGAAGAACCAGGCAACCTAATGCAGGCCAGTCCAGTCAACCTTGAAGACAAGCGGAAGAAAGAGCAGGAACAGAAGAAGCAAATGCAAACATCCGTTTTCCTACTGTCTCTTATTGTTCTTGCTGGTGTTGCTATTGTTGCCACAGTGGCTGGTACCAAGAAAAAAGAAGTGGTATCTGCAGGTGTCCTAACAGCAGTTCCCACAGCATTTCTCTCCAAGGAGCCTTCATCTGTGCCGTCATCAGCTCCGACTGGAGCTCTTGACCAGTTGCTTGCTAGCTTGCCTGACTACACTTTGTCTAGCATCAACAATGGAAGTCATACACCCCAGTGGAAAGCCTGGAATTGGCTTGCCAATCACCAAAACATTACTTTCTTACCAGAATGGAGAAAGACTCAACTCTATGCCATGGCCACATTCTACTATGCTTTTGAGGGAGAAAATTGGTGGCAGCCAATCAAGAAACGGTGGATGGATGATTCAAAATCTGAGTGTGACTGGTTCTCCGCAGGGATTGGAATTTTCGATTCAATGGGAATCTATGAGGAATACGCCACCTCAGGGTTGGTTTTGTCAAAAGTATACGGGTTGCCCTGTAATGATCAGGGCAAGCTGACTTCGCTCCAGCTGGATGGTCTTCAGCTTTCTGGCATGGCACCATCAATTCCACCCGAGATGGTTCTTTTGGAGCACTTGTCTTTCTTGCAGTTGAGTGGGAATGGAATCACAATGCCAATCGCAGCACTGCTACCAGCTGTCTTCGGCATGACCGCCCTGACCGGCTTGATGCTATTTGATGATCAATACACAGGCAGCATTCCCTCAGAGTTTGGTCTGCTTACTTTGTTGGGGGTCCTGGATTTGAGGGCGAATCTGCTCACCGGAAAAGTCCCCACTGAACTGTGTCAAATGACCGCTCTAAATGATTTTTATGTGAATTACAATGATCTGACAGGTTCAATTCCCACAGAGATTGGTTTGATGACCTCCTTGCGCATATTCTCTATGGGGGGCAATGCAATTACTGGACAAGTGCCCACAGAGCTGGGCCTGCTGACAGCTCTGAATCAACTGTATATGCATGAGGTTGAGCTGACAGGTACAATTCCATCAGACATTGGGTTCATGACTTCATTGGACTATCTCTATCTCCACACCACTCAATTGACTGGACAACTGCCCACAGAACTAGGTCTGTTGACAGCATTGACTCAACTTTGGGTTCATAATCATCTGCTGACAGGCTCTCTTCCAACTGAGCTGGGTTTGATGACTTCATTGCCCAAACTTGTTCTTCTAAACAATCTCTTGGCTGGACAGCTGCCCACAGAGCTTGGTCTATTGACTGCGCTGACAGAACTTTGGTTGAGCACAAATGTGCTGACAGGGACCATTCCAGTAGAGTTTGGTTTCATGACACCTTTAGTCTGGCTGGGTCTTTACAGCAACCGCTTGGCTGGACAACTGCCCACAGAGGTTGGTCTTTTTGCAGATCTCTTTAATCTACAGTTGCAGCGAAATGAGCTGACAGGCTCTCTTCCAACCGAGATTGGGTTGCTGACTTCATTGAACAAACTTTCCGTTGTAGACAATCTCTTGGCTGGAAAGCTGCCCACAGAGCTTGGTCTATTGACTGCAGTGACGGATCTTTCGTTGAACGACAACCAGCTGACTGCGACCATTCCATCAGAGTTTGGTTTCATGACGTCATTACGCTGGCTGGCTCTTTACAACAATCTCTTGACTGGACAACTGCTGACAGAGCTCGGTCTACTGACTGATCTTATTGATCTAGAGTTGCAACAAAATGAGCTGACAGGCACTCTTCCAATCGAGATTGGGTTGCTGACTTCATTGGACAAACTTTCCGTTGTAGACAATCTCTTGGCTGGAAAGCTGCCTACAGAGCTTGGTCTATTGACTGCGCTGACAGAACTTTCGTTGAATGACAACCAGCTGACTGCAACCATTCCAGCAGAGTTTGGTTTCATGACGACATTACGCTGGCTGACTCTTTACACAATCTCTTGACTGGACACTGCTGACAGAGCTCGGTCTACTGACAGATCTTATTGATCTAGAGTTGCAACAAAATGAGCTGACAGGCTCTCTTCCAATCGAGATTGGGTTGCTGACTTCATTGACAAACTTTCCGTTGTAGACAATCTCTTGGCTGGAAAGCTGCCCACAGAGCTTGGTCTATTGACTGCGCTGACAGAACTTTCGTTGAATGACAACCAGCTGACTGCAACCATTCCAGCAGAGTTTGGTTTCATGACGACATTACGCTGGCTGACTCTTTACAACAATCTCTTGACTGGACAACTGCTGACAGAGCTCGGTCTACTGACAGATCTTATTGATCTAGAGTTGCAACAAAATGAGCTGACAGGCTCTCTTCCAACCGAGATTGGGTTGCTGACTTCATTGAACAAACTTTCCGTTGTAGACAATCTCTTGGCTGGAAAGCTGCCCACAGAGCTTGGTCTATTGACTGCACTGACTGATCTTTCGTTGAATGACAACCAGCTGACTGCGTCCATTCCAGCAGATTTTGGTTTCATGACGACATTACGTTGGCTGGCTCTTTACAACAATCTCTTGACTGGACAGCTGCCCACAGAGCTGGGCCTACTGACAGATCTATTTCATCTACAGTTGCAACTAAACCAGCTGACAGGCTCTCTTCCAACCGAGATTGGGTTGCTGACTTCATTGAGCAGACTTTCCGTGGTAGTCAATCTCTTGGCTGGACAGCTGCCCACAGAGCTTGGTCTATTGACTGCGCTGACTGAACTTTGGTTGAGCGCAAATGAGCTGACAGGAACAATTCCAGCGGAAATTGGGTTGATAACATCTTTGGGGAAGCTGGGTCTTTCAATCATGCGTTTGACTGGAGGGCTGCCCACAGAACTTGGTCAATTGACTGCGCTGACTGAACTTTGGTTGAATGACAACCAGCTGACTACGACCATTCCAGCAGAGTTTGGTTTCATGACGACATTACGTTGGATGGCTCTTTACAACAATCTCTTGACTGGACAACTGCCCACAGAGCTGGGTCTACTGACAGATCTATTTCATCTACAGTTGCAACTAAACCAGCTGACAGGCTCTCTTCCAACCGAGATTGGGTTGCTGACTTCATTGAGCAGACTTTCCGTGGTAGTCAATCTCTTGGCTGGACAGCTGCCCACAGAGCTTGGTCTATTGACTGCGCTGACAGAACTTTGGTTGAGCGCAAATGAGCTGACAGGAACAATTCCAACAGAAATTGGGTTGATGACTTCTTTGGGGAAGCTGGGTCTTTCAAACATGCGTTTGACTGGAGGGCTGACCACAGAGCTTAGTCTATTGTCTGCACTGACTGAACTTTGGTTGAATGACAACCAGCTGACTGCGACCATTCCAACTGAGATTGGGCTCATGACGCCGTTACGCTGGCTGGCGCTTTACAACAATCTCTTGACTGGACAACTGCTGACAGAGCTGGGTCTATTGACAGATCTATTTCATCTACAGTTGCAACAAAATATGCTGACAGGCTCTCTTCCAACCGAGATTGGGTTTCTGACTTCATTGAGCAGACTTTCCGTGGTAGTCAATCTCTTGGCTGGACAGCTGCCCACAGAGCTTGGTCTATTGACTGCGCTGACAGAACTTTGGTTGAGCGCAAATGAGCTGACAGGAACAATTCCAACAGAAATTGGGTTGATGACTTCTTTGGGGAAGCTGGGTCTTTCAAACATGCGTTTGACTGGAGGGCTGACCACAGAGCTTAGTCTAGTGACTGCACTGACTGAACTTTGGTTGAATGACAACCAGCTGACTGCGACCATTCCAACTGAGATTGGGGTCATGACGTCGTTACACTGGCTAGTCCTCTACAACAATCCCTTGGCTGGACAGCTTCCCACAGAAGTGGGTTTATTGAGGGCTCTGAAGGAACTTTGGCTGTTCAATGCTCACCTGAGAGGCCCAATTGGGACTGAGATTGGGTTGATGACTTCTTTGGCGAAGATGATTCTTACCAACAATCACCTGACAGGAATTCTTCCAACTGAGATTGGGTTGATGATTTCCTTGGTCAAGCTAGGTCTTTCAGTCAATGGTTTGACTGGACAACTACCCACAGAATTGGGTTTGGTGACCACTATGGATGAAGTAAGGTTGTCCCACAATCAGCTGATGAGCACCATTCCAACTGAGGTTAGCTTGATGACAAGTCTTACTTGGCTCGAGCTCAACAACAACATTTTGTCTGGGGAACTTGTGTCGGAGCTCGGGCTGCTAACTTCGTTGAACCTACTCTTTCTTTCCAACAACAACCTCACTGGGTCCCTTCCTTTCCAGCTCAATGCTTCCGTTGATACCAGATTGGATGGCAATGGGTTCACAGGGACAGTACCAGAACAGCTTTGTTTTTCTCTGGAGTGTGAGTGTTCCTCAAATATCAATTATGCTTCCACCTGTTTGGGGCTTCGAGAGATTCCAGGTTTCCCAGGAAGGTTCCCACCAAGGAGTTTTGATCCGATTTCTACGTCGATCATGCTGAACATCCACACGGATACTGCACCTGAGGAAACATCGTGGGTATGGCAACAAGAAACCAGTGCTTCCAATATCATTTGGGAGACAGTTCAATCTTCAGAAGAAGCATTTTATCGGGTGCTCTCGCTCTACTCTCACATCCTGTATGTAGAACACAGCACAACCTACAGGCTTCTTGTCAAAGACAGCTTGGATAATGGCTTGGAGGCCATCCTTTCATGGATCACACTCACCGGCGCAGACGAAGCTCTACTTTTCTCTTTTGAAGGTGGAGAGCAGTTCTCAGAAATCAATGTTGTTGTTCAAGTCAGAGATGATGGTTCTATTGGTACGGATTCTTCTGTTTCTCCCTAAAGTTTATTTGTTTGAGATACTGGTCAAACGGCATCGATGCAATGGTTGTTCCGTCTCAATCTGTTTGCGCGCGGACTGCTGAGGTACTAGCGACCAGTTGCTTTGCGCGAATATTTTTATTGCCCGTTTGCTCTTGAGCGGATGAGCAATGAAGCGCTCTGAGTGAGCTTTAGAAGAACAAGGGCGACTGTGAGCGATGGGATACCATGGGATCGAGTTCACAGGGTCAAGATCCGTGAAGAAGACATCCAATCAATGTAGTCTACTACAATCATAGTACGGTAGAGATCAACAATTATGTATTCAGTACGTAGAATCCGGACACCGGTGAAGAGACCCAGAAGTATTAGCAGATGCAGCCTTTACGGGATTATCAGTCGCACATGTCATAGTCTGAAGAGTTCGGAACCAGCGTTGTTGGATCTGTAAGTGGCAATGGCAAACGAATGTGTGGCGAGTCAAAACTTCGCAAAACCATTGGTTGATTTCATTGCAGGTCAATTTCTTTTTTAACCTAGGGGGGCTAGCTCCACGTGTAGTGGAAGTTCTACTGATTCGATCCTGCCGGTGGTCGATATTAGCAAAGAGGATGCCCGTACCGGGAGGGTCGCAAGTATTTGACAGACTTCCTTGAAGTGCTGGCTTCGCTCGTGCGCCGAATGCCGGTTAGAGTCATCATACGGTGCGTTGCATGAACCAGACGCCAAGCGAATCGAATCACTTGCGCTTGCCCTTCAAAACCGAGAACCGGGTTGTCCTTCGCCTTTGAGAACCATGAAGACATGTTAAAGTCGGTGGTTTCATGGTGGTGCGAGGATGCCCCACAAGGTTGCTTTCCTGGTATTCTTGAGTGGATTAAGCAAATTTTATTGAAACAGGTCACCATAATGATCCCAAGCTTATGGTTTCGGGTACAGTCCTTTTTTAAAAAAAATCACCACATCACAGAAGAGTTTGATCGGCGCCATTGTTGGTATTGATAGCAGCCGCTACTCCGAAACTGGTGCTTGGATTGTGCAATTGCCATGTGGCCCTGTAGTACCGGTACTACCGGTATGGGCAGCCGCTTGTTGCATGACGTGTAGTTGTCCACTAGCTAGCTAGAGACCCTAATACGCTGTACTGGTAGCAGAAGAGGCGTCATGGGTGGGACCGTGGAAACAGTCACGACCGAATCGAATCAATCGAATCGGATGGATCAATCTTAAAATCGAGCGTCGAACGGAAGCTCGGTGAACAAAGGAGACACGTCAACGACCATCATTAAATAAAGTGTGCCCCATACTTAAAATAGTACCAAGTTCTGTGTTAATAATACTATAGTACTAATTTAAAATAGTAATAGACAAAGCCTTTTCCAGGAAAGCAGATTTAACATTCTCTATGCATTTTTCAACTGGTACTGGGAGAATAAGTAAAAGAAATGTCCGATCAAAACTCAGTTAGTTGGGTATTTAAGTATTCAGAGATTCAGAGTCCCGGCGGGACCACCACTCTTATGTGGTCACATGCAATCGGCGAAGCCGACAACCCGACATGCGCCTTTTCCTTCCATCAACAAACTCCTTCAGCTCTCCGTCATCATTCCTTCTTGCTTCCACACATTGCTTTCGAGTGTCACTTTATTTTAAAAACACAGCGCATCCAACAGAGACGCCAATCGACATTGAGAGCGTTGGCGGCATTCCTACGCCCTACATTGTACCGGTACCACCAAAGAGTACCTATCTTACTTCGAAATTCTGACCATTCAGCTGTACATGTAGTTTGCACTGTACCAGCTACCGCTGCATCGATAGCTATTTCGATCAATAGCTTGCTACTAGCTAATAATAGGTCGTCAAGGAACGTACGAGATATCGCACCGGAACAGGAGACAGGATCGAGATTAGAATCGCTTCAGGTCGTTCAGTCTTCAGGTCGTCAACGCCAAGGGAGTACCAAGGGTTACAATGGTTACAATGTCGATGCCAACCGGTGCCCCTCAATTGGCAAATGATGCCTTGATCCTTGCTTTGGAAGAGGAACGGAATCATCAGGCTAGCAGGAAAGAAACCCATGGACTACCACCACAATTTGTCCCAAGCCAACTGAACCATGACCATGATAATAACACGTGTGTTTCTTCCATCACCGATGCTATGCATGACGCAGAGCTGTTTGTGGACCGCATGTATCCCACTCTACAGGATGTGCCAGAAGAAGAGGAGCAAGAAGAAGAAGACTCCATCGAGCTTCCAATGAAGCCGTCTGGTCCCCTAATCGGTGCCCCTACAACAGAAAATGATGCCTTGATCCTTGCTTTGGAAGCGGAACGGAATCATCAGGCTAGAAGGGAAGAAACCCATGGACTACCACCAAAAGTTGTACCGAGCCAACAGAACCATGACCATGATAATGACACGTGTGTTTCTTCCATCACCGATGCTATGCATGAAGCCGAGCTGTTTGTGGACCGCATGTATCCCGCTCTACAGGATGTGCCAGAGGAGGAGCAAGAAGAAGAATCCATCAAGCTTCCCACAAAGTCGTCTCGTCCCAAGAAGACAACCATGAGCGCAGCATACGACGAAAAGACTCTTCTAACGTCGGGAATCAAGGTCGTTGATGGAAAAAAGACTGATGCTGTGGGAGCCGTTAAAGATCCAATTTTGGTGGCCCCTCTTGAATCCAAGGATGCAGTGGCTTCCGGCAGCAATGAGATGGAGGATGGGAGTGACAATGCTCAAGGTGTTCGCCATCCACATATTAGTCAACTGATTGCAGGGATGCAACCACTCCCACAACTGATACGCCACCATGGCTCGGCAGACACGGCTCAGCCTGGGGCCTTCCACAGAGATGGTCCTGATGCGCACTTGTACAACAACACTCCTGTTGTTACACCACCAGAACCCAGCAATGAATTCATGCCGAGCAATACTGACAATCATGAGGGTTTGGTCCAGGCGAATGCCATCGATGACGATGATGTTGAGAATCTGACTCGAGCCAATCCAGTCAATCTGGACAAGCGCAAGCAAAAAGAACTGCAACAGAAAAAGCAACAAAAAACCTTTGTGCTTATTCTGATTTTGGTTGTTCTTGCCGCCGCCGCTATTATTGGGACTGTTGCTGGAACAAGCGACAAGGGAGATGAGATTGTCATCCAAACCGCCGCCCCAACAGCCTATGGATCCATGGAGCCATCTGGGGTGCCATCCAGTGCTCCAACTGGAGTGCTTGGCCTTCTCTGGAGCAACCTACCTGTGGAAACTCAGGAAAGTCTCGAGACTTACGGGACTCCTCAGTGGAAAGCATTTGATTGGGTGGGCAGGCATCAAAACATTACAAATTTGCCAGAGTGGAGAAAGATGCATGCATTTGCCATGGCCACCTTCTTCTATTCCATGGAGGGTGAGAACTGGTGGTGGCCGATCAAGGAGCGGTGGATGGTCGACACTATGGATGAGTGCTTGTGGTTTTCAGAAGCATTTGGCAGTTTTGACAGGGGGGCAGATGGCCTTGCTAACACAGGCGATGAAGGCGAGGGCACTTATTATGAGGACTTTTTTCCCATACAATATGCAAATTGCAATGCTCATGATCAGTTGACCAAACTATGGCCAGGACCACTGGGTCTTCAAGGTTAATAGCCAGTTGTTCCACCAGAGATTGGATTGCTCACATCATTGGAATCTCTCAGACTTGTTGGACTTGGCACCAAAGTACCACTGTTTGACATGCTCTCTCCAAAAGTACTTGAACTGGGAACATTCCGTGCACTTGGCATAGCCAATGGACTTGGAGGGACCATACCAACAGATGTGGGTATGATGTTTGCCAACTTGACAAGCCTGGAATTGTTCGGGAACTCATTCTCAGGAAGTCTCCCAACTGAGATTGGCCTCCTCACTGGCCTTGAAGGTCAAATCAATTTGGCTAGCAACAATATTTCTGGTACAATCCCTACCGAGATGGCAGGCCTTACCAATGTAGGCACCTTTTGGATGTCTGGAAACCCTTGGGTTGGCCCCATTCCAACCGAGTTTGGAACTCTGTCTAATGCAGGTGCTTTTTCCTTTGACAGAACTTTCGTGTCCGGATTGATTCCAACTGAAATAGGATTGATGGAAAGCCTAAGTCTGATGGCTTTGGGGAGCACTATGCTGACTGGTTGGATCCCAACTGAAATTGGTAGAATTCCCTCTTTGGAAAGGATACACCTACAGGATAATAGCTTCTCAGGCTCAATCGCTTCTGAACTGGGCCTCCTTTCCAAGCTCTGGTATTTTGATCTGTCCAATCTACCACTCTTGACTGGGTCCATTCCATCTGAGTTGTCCGGCTTTACAGGTGCTTTGCTCCTAGAAGGTAGTGGGGTTTCCGGTACCATCCCAGAAGGCTTGTGCTTCTTGCAGGATGAGGCTTGCAATTATACTGTTGCCAATCCTATTGGGGAATGGACTTTCCCTTGTTCATTTGCCTTTGATTGCACGGAAAGACTTTGTGGTTGTGATTGTCCCTGCACAGATGGAATCAACCACACAACCAGATGAGTCCTTTGTGCTTGTAAGTAAATGTACGGTACATCAGCTAAAGTTTTGGATTTAATGTGCTGTCGTGCTTGGCTATATATTCTGTGTCTGTAGCTTGGGCTGTCCGTCGCTCGAGCTGAGGCCAGGACTCGTTTCCCTGGCATTATCGGCAGAGCATTCGAATAATGACGGCAGAGAATCGCCGTCGCAGTAGGTAGCATCCACTGAGATCACATCCCAAGAGGAAGAAACTTGAGTTTTCGAGCTCCCTCGAATCGATCAAAACAAATGGAACCTTCGATTCTCTTGTTTTTTGTTCAGGCCCTCACAACCATCCCAATCCACGACCAAGTTCCTCGATTTTTAGACAAGGGATTTTGGGATGCCTCAACTCATCCATAGTTTTTTGTCCGCGTCGATGACCAAACACTTACTACGGAGGAAGGCTTCTTGTACTACCGTAGCCGAAGGGGTGTACCGACCGCTTCTGAAACTTGTTTATCCTTGCGAGGCAGGAGTGAGTCGAGTCGCATGAGCAGGGCAATCGATCCGTTCCAAAAATGTGATTTGCTCGCGTTCTTGCCGGCATGCTGGTTTGTTGGAGCCTGTCTTCGCAGGTTAGGAATGATGAAGCACTGGAGTGGTAGGGAATGGCGGATTAGACATAATCCACGAGTTTCGCAGTTTTGGCGGATTCGCGGCAGCCACAAAACCGCCACAAAACCGCCGCTGGCAAAAACGCATTGTGGGAGAGCAACAAGGCGGCTTCGTGCTTTTCTTCATCGCATGCTGGATCCTCGAAGCAATCATGATATTGCTTCCACAACAAGCTCACAATGCCTCGAACAAGAGCAAAGACACAGAGAACAGATCCAAACACAACCCCTCTGGACAAGTGGGAAAAGCTCACTGCTTGGGACAAACTCATCTGTTGGAATTATTACCAGTACACCGCAACTCAAGGTGCTGAAGGTTGGAACCCAATTAAAGCTGGCTTTGTTCATTACCAGGGCTCATCGAAATGGCTTTGCGCTTTGGGCAGTGATTCTTGGTTTCGACATCGTGGCAAACAGATGGTAACACTCGCTGAAAAATTTGCAAAATATAATCAAGTACCACCAAAGCCAAATAACGCCAACACAGCCAACGCTCCAGCACAAAACCCCTTCTCTACTCCAGTTCAAAACACAACAAACACAATGCAAAGCCTTTATCGCAGCACTCCCCAACAAACATCACCCTCTCCTCTGGCCGCCTCTTCTGTCCAGGAGGAACAAGGATTTAATGGGCGTCAGCTCAGGAGCTCGGCCTGGGAGTGCCTACATCATTTGGTATGCATAAGAAATTCAATTACACCACTCGGCCTGGGAGTGCCTACATCATTTGGTATGCATAAGAAATTCAATTACACCACTCGCAAGACAACAAGTCGCCTTCTTGTTCGTATGATTCTGAACAATGCAGTTACCCTTCAAGATATTGAATTTGTGTCGGAAACTCCCCGCCGGTTGAAGATACGCGTTGCTTGGCCAGACTGGTTTCAAATGGCCGAACAAATGGCCCAATTTACACTGGACGATACTGGAGATATGATTTTCCCTCCCGAGCACCCGCTTACAATGGATACATCGGAACGCAATCAACAACTTGTAAAGGAGGATGGGCGCATCTGGAATGATGGGTACTTGTGCTTTGATCAAGATATGAAAGATGAAGACCCGATTATTGAGCTCCTAGATGTCACCAATACTGCCCTTGGGAAGACAATCCAAGTCCTACAGATTTATGCAGATGTTGCACCAGTGGAAAAAGGTACCAACAACAAAGTAAAAACTGCCCGCTCTGTCAATATTGGTGGCCCGGTTGGCGTGAAAAACAAGAACGCTCGCAGCGCTTCCGAAGCTGGATTAAGTGGCAAGGGCGGAGAAACCCTCATGGCAAGTTGAATCGAAACTGGCGATTGGATGTCTTCATTATTTGATGACAACATTGTTGATAGTGAAAGTGAAAGTGAAAAGGATGAGGATGATGAATTTGATGCCACCGTAGTGGTTCAACACGTAAGCAAGGAGCTAGTGATTGCCAAGCTGGCCTATAGATGTTTACTTCAAAACTAGTCAATAAAACCAAATAATCTAAAATTTAAAAGCTCTATCTACATGTACAGCACATCATAGGGAACTTCATACAAAGATTCCCCATTCTCCAGCTTCAGCTGTGTCAAAACTATCACTGCCTCGGTGCACAGCTTGTGTTTGCCCATCATTTCGCTCCCTGGATTCATATGGCGGAAGGGCACATTCAAAATTATGAATATCTTAATTCGTCCATTGATGTTTTCATGGCGGCCACGGACAACAGACTTTTGCTTTCGAGCATTTCTGCTGCTGGCAGTGATTGGATTTTTGAATTTCTCATGGCCTTTGTACCCGGCATCAACTTCGATACCTTCATTATCAGCTAGTATATTCACTAATGTTTCCTTGCAAACAATTGTGTGGTCTGGCTTGCCTGCAGGGAACGGCCCATTTAACCAAACGAGGTAACCCGTTTTGATGCACACACCAAGCTCATACTTCACTCGGGGACCATTGAATTTCACTGAGTAATTTCCCGTATTAAATGGCCAATGCTCCATTGTCATCCAATCAAAGCAATCAACAGATAGGAGATATGTGGTTGAATCATCATACCCCTGAAATCTATTTTCGAGCTTGATTACAGGTTCCACAAGAGAAGCTATTTTTGCAATGAAATACCAACTCCACTTTCGGTGGCTTTTGGGATCAACCCAGTTAACAATTCGACAATGTACCTCCTCGGTGGAATAAATCATAAGGAAAACAAGAGCCCAAAGAAGATGCTTTTGGTGTGCTCCTGGCTCATCAACAGTTGGCGCAATCATGTTCCAAACTATGACAATGATGGGCATTGGGACACCAAAGAAACCACGGAAGATTTTGTCCTCTCGCTGAGGTGAGTACTTCCTCTGCTGTGACATATTCAGGATATCTCTGGCTGTAGCAGCCATGCAATCAATATCTGTGGGCTCCATTAATGTTAGCAGCTCCTGTTCTACTGGCTCTAGCTAGCTAGCTACTATCCGGATAGTAGTTGCATACTCTTGTTGTGTGTTGTACTAGTAGGGTGCTTTTACAAGGCGAACGGAGAGAGGAGGTTGCTTCTGCATGTGTGTTGCGATCTTCCAGAAAACCACGAAACCGCGAAAACCGCGAGATTCGCGGATTTATTGGCAGGTTTTCTCGTGGTTTTGTTTTAGTTTTCTCGTGGCGTCGCTGAGAATTAACAGCGAAACAGCGAAAAAGGAAAACGAGACAAAAAACGCTATTCCCTACCACTCCTGCTGCTTTGATCACTCGTTCCCGGTTCCTCTTCCATCCCATCGTGGAGATATACCGGTATGAGTGTCCCGTAGCTTGCAAAACTGTAGCATCATGCTAACGTGAGGGAATACTACTTGAATAGAGGGATCTTGTAGAGGTAGCTACCACCCAACGAGATCAGCTGCAACTATTCAAGACGAGTACAAAGTAAATGCAAAGTTCGCTTCTTAGTAATTCATAATCTGTGTTGTGAGCTTTGATTGATGCGATCAGTAAAGCTAGTTCGTAGCGTGTTAGATCAATGCATCGTGGTAGTTGATCTTGATTCATACGGAAGTCAACGTGGTATCTGCGGGAAACGGTTCGTTGGTAGGATGCTTTACTCCTGTCGAATACTCCAATTTACCGTGTCCTTTGGTTTCGTTGAGAACGTGTTCTTGCCAGCGTTCTCTGTTCCATCGTGTTGACTCATAAAGCATGACTCAATCTACTCACGGATACTCTGAGTCATGGGAGGAACTGTAACGCTTTCAATCATGAATTAACCATCAGCATCCCGAGAGAACTGCGGTAGCTCATTGTGCCAGCAGGGACACGAGAGCCACACATGCGGAGGTGGCGGGCCCGAATAATAGCACGGCTGAGCCAGGCATTAACGTAGCCATGCAACACTGAGTAAGGGCGTTCCCACTTTGCAGGGGAGGGCAAAGGGAGGAAGTCGGGAGGGAGTATTGGTAATGTCTTCTCCCCCGTTTTTCTTCTTTTCAAAAGGCAAGCTGAGAATCACATCCCTCTGGGTTACACGGCATTTTGTCTATTTGGCCTAATAGTGTTTTGGCGATAAAGTGATCCTTATGTAAATGTCTACACACCGTTGAAAAGATTTAAGACAATAGTAGACATAAGTAGACAAAGTAGACATTGTGCGGATTTTGTAGACATTAGAAAACATTGGTAGACTTTGGTAGACTTTAGTAGACTTTGGTGGACATTGGTGGACATTGGTAGACATTTTTGAATTGTCTTACTGTACTGTGTAGACATTGGTAGACATTGGTAAACAAAGTGAGACATTGGTAGACAAAGTGAAATATTAGTAGAATTTAGTAGACTTGGTAGACATTAGTAGACAAAGTAGACATTAGTTGACATTGTGAGACATAAGCCACTTTTACTAAGGAGCATAGAACATTTAGGCAACTCTGTAATCAGATACATAGCCTTAAATAGACAAAATGCCGAGTAAGCCTGCAAATTTGGGAATACTTCTCTCGAACGCTGCTCCTGAACACTTCTCCCAAACCTTTCAGTATTGTAAAGCATTACCGGTACTTCTGAATTATCAGTGGGCATTCTTTTAGTGTTTTGCAGACAATTTTCGTTGACAATTTTTGTGCGCACCGCAATGTACCGTCTCGCACCGCACCGTACGAATTAAAAGCTTCAGAGATCCCACATTCAAGGAACGCGAAATTAAGCATCTACTATATGTATCTAGCTAGTAGAGAGTAGGCTGGGATTAATTAAAGGGGGTGGACTTCCTGTACTGTACAGTAACTAGTCAAAATTGGGTCTCCCAGTCAAGGTAGGCAAGGTACCGGTGGGCTAGGCACCGAATACACTCTAATTGAGTCTTTTTTCCCTTTTTCAAAAGCATTTTCTTCAAAAGTATGTTCTCCTGGAACAGCCTATTTGAGTTGACCAATCTGAATCGAATCTGAATTTTAAGAGCCCAATTAGGCTCTTAAAATTACAACAGGCTCTTAATTAAGATTCAGATTGGAAAAGTCAGATTGATAGTCAGGGATAGTGAAGCCAAACAGCACCACAGCAAGGGCTGTGGTGGCAAAGCAAAGCAAAGAATAGAAACTAGCTAGCTGGGTAATAATACTTCTGGTGCCATAAATGCCGGATCCTGTACATTGAATCTGGCTGTGAAATGAAAATATCAATCGGAGCAGCTTTTGGCAGAGGGAAGCAGACTGAGTTCATCAGGAATGCTGTTACAAGATTATGTCAATAGTAAACCGTCACGTAGGAGCTATGCAAATCGCAATCAAATGCAGCAGAGCATCAATCCTTTAGCGAGCTTCACGATCAAGTCCACTCTATCCAGCAAGAATCTTGCGACCCTAAAGTTCCACGTAAGCAAAACGACACCCTCCTTGACGAACATGTTGGAAGCTCCGTAAGAGCTCGCTCTCACTTGGAAATTCATCGTCATTCCAAGGGCAATCGCTTCCTGTGTATACATAAGTTTTCCTCCTTTCAAGCAGCCCCAACAATCTTCACTCTGAACCAACTTGCATCATTCCGTTGCAATCAACAGAGATCATAACAAAACCCTCCTTGAATGGTGTCGTGTTGTTTCGTTTCGTATTCATTCGCTCAATCATTGTTGCAGATGCCTCTCTTGTTTGATGTTTTCATTCTCTCTTTCAAACTTTGTGTTTCGAATCCTGCGAGAAGTAATTTCATTGTCGCGTTGGGAAAGGCAACATAACTGCGGCGCCAACATAACTGACTAAAGTTTCCTTCCGCATTCATTTGTTTCTTTCATTTGCAAAAGTATTCTTTCCTCCATCTATCCTTCTAATCACCTCCTACCAACTTGTGCTCACCCGTGAGACTGCTGTCTTCCGCCCCTCCTGCAAGTAACCCGGGAATGCCGGTTGTCAAAGAGATGAAGGCATCGTCGTCATTATCATCGCCTAAAGCAGGTCCTTCATCTGTGGTGCCCAGGACTCCACCAAACAGGCGGCTTGCCGAAATAGTTCCAGCATTGGATGATCCCGGAAGCATTGGGGTGCCCCAATCATTGGAATCGCCACCAGTCCCCCAAGTCGCAGACGACCCAAAGGCGAAGATATGGTTGTGGTTGTTTGCCGCGATACCGCAGAGTGGTGGATCCAGCGAGAGAGCCGCAAAGTCTACGCCGTTGAGCTGGTTTGTAGTGGCGTCGATCTTGGCAGATGGCGACTGGATCACAGCATCCATGGTCTGCGTCGGGTCAAACCCAAGTCCCATGAAATCCTGTTGTGATCATTTGTACGTAGATGAGGAAGCATCCAACGAATTGCAAAGCCAAGCTCCCATCGACTCAACAAATTTGCTTACCGGTACATCGTCGTCGTCATCCTCATCCTCGCTCATGTTAATGTTCATCAAGACCTTAGAAGCGGAAGCCGTGTGTTCCCGAGGTTCAAGGCTTGGCTGGAGGCCTGGCGAGCTCATATCATCCTCGTCGTCCATGTCTTGGCTTCCCAGCGACGGCATGGTTGCGGCTTGAGCAGCGGCAGCCAATGCAGCTTGACTAGGCGCCCATTCTCTGGCGGTTGCCTGCAAGGTTGGCGACTCTTCATCCATACCCGTGACCAATTCGATCTTTTCGTTTGGCTTGACCCATTCCAACTCTGGTTGCTTTTCCTCTTCCTCCGGCACATAAGGGTCTTCCATTGAGTATCCCGTGTCGTAGTCGTAATTCACTCCCAAGTCTTCGTTGGAATCGTAAGGATTGAAACCGTCGTAGGCGTCGTAGCGATCAGAAGATAAGGACCGTTGCTGGTGTTCGGCAGAAGGCGAGGCTTGTTCCTGGTACATTTGCTGTTGCTGTTCTAGGAATGTGGCATGGGCATCGGGATTACGGACACGTCCTCCAGGGACACTGTGGGCACCATAGCCAAGGTCTCCGTCACATCCATCGGCGCAGTAGCAATTTCCCTTGTCGTCACGAGCGTACAAAACACCACGAGTTCGTGGGAGCTTGCGCTCTGCATTTGGGTGACCTTTGGATGCTTTGGTGGAAGAGTTCTTGCCTACAGCCTTGCCCTTCTTTCCATTCTTTCCTTTCGATTGCTTGTTGCCGCGTGCGTTTCCGTTGTCGTCGTCCGCCTGTTTTCCGCGTCCTTTGCCACGTCCCTTGTTGGAGTTTTTTCCGCCACGAGCATTCTCATCACGGCTAGGGACAGCGACCATCGAGCCGCTCTTGGGATCAAATAACATGCGGGGAGCAGCAGCCCGAGGCGCTTCTCCTCTGTCGCGATCCTCGTAGCTGTTCAAATGAATGACAGGTCCATTGTACGCACCCGGAGTTGTTGCATTCCGAGGAGAAAGGTCACCGTTGCCACGTCCTAGCGACCTTTGGTCGGAACCGACTGACGCCGCTGCGCTGTTCCCATTGGACTGGTGTTTTCCGTGGTCTTTGACGCCATTGGCTCCACCACCGAGAAATGAGCTGTAGGTTCGGTTGGAGCCCTGATTGGGATCGTAGAGGGTTCGCTGCACTGGTCGAGACGGTACTGCGGGAGTACTGTTGTGATTGTTGCTGTTGGCTGCGTTACCGTTGTTGCTCAATGGCTCCAGGACCACCCCCTTCTTATTAATGTGGTGATCGTCGCCATCAATTTTCGATTCCAACGCGCGCAATCGCATGGCTGCTTTCTCGCTTTGCTCCCTGCTACGAGCTGCCTCTTCTTGGCGTCTTCGTTCGGCTCTTTCTCTAGCTAATTTCGCCATGTAGGCTTGTTGAGAGTCCAGTACATTTTGATCCTCGTGATGGTAATTGTTGTTGGCGTTTCCGTGAGCATGGACTACCGAAGGCGGGTGGTCCGTGCTGACCAAACCCCGAGAAGCATTCGCTCCTCTTCCACCGTACTCATCCCAATTCGACGACGGGGCTACATATTGTTCTTCTTCGCGAGCTCGCGACGTAGGCGCTTCAGTGGGTCGTTCTAGACTCGGGGCGGGAGAGTGTACTTGCTTTGGCAGAGGGTCCATGACAGGAGGGCTAGTGTTGTCGTTGTTGTTTAGCACGTTGCTGTTGTTGTTGTTGTTTTGAGTGTTGGCAGTGGCAGCGGCAGCGACTCCCCAGGCATCCGGCGTCTGTTCGGCCCGAGAGGCAGCTGCTCCTACAACGGCTCCTAGCAAAACATCGTGTGTCGAGGTGGAGCTCTCATACTGGAGGCCCAAAGAAGGGAGAGGAGTTGTGACGGTTGGTTTGCTCGCCAAGAGACCATTGGAGGGTCCACTGTTGCGCTTGTTGGTTGACAGCAAGAGGAGACCATTCCTAGAAGCAGCATTCGCCTTGGAGGATTCGGAAGCAGCCGGAGGAGCTGGTGGCTTGGTCAACTTGTTCAGGTTCTTTCCAAACTTCTTCTTGCCTGTTGTTGTCGTAGTAGTAGTAGCAGTAGCGCCCAAGGGATTCACCGTGCTGTTGCTCGTCGCGGCGCCTTCCGTTGCTGATAAACGATTCAATGAAGTCATCATTGCCAGCCGCTTCGTCTAGTCTCTTCTCTAGCTAGCTTCCGTACAACTACTAGCCTCCCGAGAGACAACGAAATGTGGAGAACGGTACACGTAGACTACAGTACTGGTTCTACGGTACACAACCGATGGAAAATGATGCCTCCTAAGAGACGCTTGCGTCGGATAGAATCCAACACAAAGCCCCTCCCTCCCCACACTCACTAGCTAGTAGTGGAGACTCCTAGACTCCTTTCACGTCAACCAGACCGACTCTTTAAGTTGTTGACTCTGGTGTACAGAAGGTTCAGGGAGACGACTTGACTTCAATGGAGACGAGAAGAGAGTTCAGTGCGTGGCTTGCCTTGTTGCGGTTGGTGTTCGGGTGTTGGGCTGAGACTCACTCGTCACTCGACCTGGACTCGACTCAAGGGCTCTCAATCGAATCATGAATTCATCGAGAAAAATAGCCGTTTGAAATCAAGAATGATCGATCGAAGGATTCGAATTGATTTCGAATCGAATCTTCAGTCAATGATTAGATTAGATTAGATTCATCGAATATCCTCCTGCCGACTAGCTAGTGCGTGAACCTTAGGACCCACTTACATTATTATTGTTATTTTCCCTTACCAACGACCATGCAACCACGCAACAAACCAAACAACCCTGCGCTTGTGGCCACAATGGAACTTCCTCGATGACACTACTGTACGACAGGAGAATCTGCAGCGCAGCTGGTGCCAACAGCAGCTGACGAATCGAATCTTTTCGACAGTCTTCTTGGAGTCTCGGGGTCGCCTGACGGCTGAAACCCAAAATGGCTCCCCGATCTCTCGTGTTTCTTTTTGGATTCCTGTTGCTTTCCTGCATTATTTGCGCGTTGGGATCTGGCTTTTTCCTTGAACGTGACAATGCTCTGCGACGGATGTCTGCTGTGGGTGGCGCTTCAGCATCAGGGGCGTCTATTACCGGGATTAAGATTCTGTACATTGTTACGTCGATTGCGGAATATGATAGCGGCAAGAGAAAGACCATCGAGGGACGAGACAGATTTGTGGAGACACTGATTCCTGTGGTTTCGGAAAGTGTACAGTCCATGCTGGCAGCCGGATATCAAGTCGACACCTATCTCATTGCTCATTATTCCCTCCGCCAGGATCGATACGACCTTTTGCGAGAATCACTGCCAGACACTGTGGGGCTGGATTTGTGGGATGATGCTTGCCCTGTGGGATATCCAAAAGCCAGTGAAGGAAGTATGGACTATATAATCAATGTGACGCGGGCATTGGCTCGTCAACATCGCTATGTCATCAAAGACAAGCTACCCCACTATGATGGTAAGTCAAAGAAGCCTTTGCGTCTTTTTGTTGCTTCCTTGTGCACGATATCTCAGGTCTTGGCTTCTTCCAAATTTTTCTTCAAGTCTTTGTCAACTTTGAAGATGACATGTTGATTCGTGGAGATCATGTACAGCAGTACTTGCAAGTATCGGCAGAGATTGATCGTCTGTGGCACTCTGCACCCACCAGGTTGGACCCAGCAACGACAAGAACGGCGACGACTGTGGAGGCAGCCTTGGACAGTTTTCATGGTCCCATGTCCAAGATTCAATTCGCTCGCATGATACCTGGTTTTATCCGAGTGGAACGAGCTGCCAATGCAACGGGCTTCCAGAAACGAACTCGCCCAGGACGAATCCCCGTGGAAGAATCCTACCGAGACCGTAACACTGGTCAATACAATCCGGTTCGTGTAGATCCCAAACCTTGCTGTCACCGTCCAGGCGAATCCTTGGCAGCATCTTCTGATTTGTTTCTTTGGGAATCCCATATCAAAGCTCTGGGGATTCGTCACATTCCTGAATCCAATCTACTCGATTGGGTACTATTGCAACGAGGAGGGAGTCCTGCCAAAATGGAAGTGGAAGAGTTGATTGGGGATTATTGGTCGGGCCGTGATGGCGACTTTGTCCTTGGCTTGCCCACGGATGCTAGACCAGACCCAATGGAATCCATATACTCCAACAACCAAGGGGGGTGGATGGCCACACGAAAGCAGATTTGGAACTGGCATACACGGCAGTGTTGGGGAGGTTTCCTTCCTCCGTTTTCATCGACTTTTATCTATCCCATGGATGGTATGAATCATGTTGTAGAGTACTGGTCCGGAGGAGGCAACCTCTATGGTCGATTGGCCTGCAATCTACAGCGCATCATACCCTTGGATCCACCGCAATTCTCTCGTCATTTATTGTATCATACATCCAACAACAAACAAAAGCAGTTGAAGTTTGTCAAGGGTCTCTTCTCCCGAGTAGATACTTTGCTCGGGCAACTGCATACTGTGCGAAAACGAGCCGAGAAAGTGATGGAACAAGAAAATATAGCACGGCCGGGGTGAGAAATTCTACCGGTACCTTGGTTTGGACGTGTGCTCCCAGCAGATGGGCAGGTAAAACAAACCAACATACCACTCAGCTCTTTTGATAGGTACCAGGCATACCGTGGCAAGAGAACAAACGCCGATGGGGGTTGGAAGGGGGGCATACAAATCACACCATTGGGAAACTAGGCAGGAGCGGTGGATTGTAGCTTCGACCATACTCTTCTCCAAGGCAAAGGCACTTGTTCAAAGTGAGGTTGTGACACAGAACGGGGGCGATGGTCATTGGCATGTAGTGCCATCGCGATAGAAAAAGAATCTTCAATCCGAGTTAAGACATTTTTCGTCGGTAGGGGGACTACCTCGGCAAATTTTAGTTTTTGCACCTGCGACAAACGTCATCCAAATGGAGATGGAGATCAAAACAAGCGACGGTAAGGGGATTTCGATCGGGGCGATGCTCACCCTCTTCGTCACCGATAAAGCCCCGAATACCAACCGCTTTCTTCTCTCTGCTCCCTGCTCGAAGCCCTGCCTTTCAAGGAATGCTGCTGGGAAAGACTGTTGAATAGAAAGAAGCGAAAAAGCCCCGATGGTGTCCTCGAATTGAAGTTCCGCCAGTCTCGTGTCATTGGCAGACGCCGCATACTATTTCCAGCCACCAGACCAGGGCTGGTCAAAAACATTCAGAAAATAAAGAGCATTTGTTGGAGATGCCGCGATGAGCTTCGCATGTTTGTCGTTTGCTCTGATGTAGGTTTGCCAATGGCACGATGAGCCAGATAAACTAACTGGCGTCACAGATGGTCAGCATTATCTCTACAATATCCAACAACACCAGGGTTGGACAGCCCAAACGAAGAAGCTGTAAAGTTAGTATTCTATGAATTATGACGAGTCGCCGGGCACCAAACACCCCAAACTACTAGAGAGAATCCAGCCACAGCAATATGGCTGTCACGGCAACGAGCTTGCTAGACGCGCCAGTAATCGATTCACATCAACAGGGTGGTCACGGCAGATTATAGACATAGCGGCCTACTCAGGAGTATTGTATTATTCGCTAGCTACCGTAGCATACGAAAGCTGGGTGTGGAGCAAAAGCTTCTATAGAAGGCGAAGGGACTGGGTTGAGCCAGTGGGATCGGGGAGAAAATTTTCGCTCAATTATAGTTCGATAATAAAATGGTCTGTGTAGAAGTACCGGTAGCTTCAGGAGTGTTTCTCACTCATCACTGACTACTAGTACTACAGTACTGGTACCGGGTGCGCAGCCACGCAGAGAGTCTGAGACTTACCTCACGATCAGCGCACCAAGGAGGTCCGGAGTGCTGGCAATGAATGATACTGTGCTGCCTTCGTGTTGTTTGCACTTCAATGCATCGGGCATGTACAGCGGGACCCTCGATTTCGGATTGGATGCAATAGCGGAAACGATTGTCGCTGGTTCCGTGCCGAAGCCCTCACAAAACCGGGGATTGATGAAAAGATCACAATCCAGATTCAGCCATTGTCTTCAGTCCTTGTATTGTTGTGTTGATTGCTGTTGTTGAGTGACTTTATCATTTGATAATTGAGAAAGGATTGTCCTCGACACGTGACAGTCTGTGGTGTTGTCACGGAGAATCCCATTTGTTCAAAGAATGGTTTTGCTGTGATACTGGCTTCGACCAAGAGCTGCTTGTGGTTGTGCAATCGAGCCTCTTCTTCCAAGGCACTGTATAGTTTTCGCCCCACACCCATCCGCTGATAGTCCTTGTGACAGTAGAAGCAATCAATGTGTCCATTATGTGTTTCCAATTCCGCAAATCCTACTAATACGCAGCCATCATTATTCTTTTTTGTCTCTGCCACCACAGTGAACCGATCGGCTTGCACTTGCGCCCAATCTCGACAGTCCAAATAATCGTCGGGCGCCCACGCTTGTACTTGTGCCCACGAGTAGTCTTGGAGGTTGACGGTGCGAACCGTCTCGTGAAAGAGTCGTGCAATTTTAGGAGCGTCGGAAGGTTCCCAGCGGCGAATGTTTATTACTTGACGTCGAAGAGATGGAATGTTGGAGAGTGCGGCAGCAGACCATCCCATCATCCACACAACCACCAATGCGGCACATGCACGCTGGTTCCGCATTAGTCAGTTAGTAGGCCATCACAGAGACCGGAAATGGAGGCGACGCCATGGTCAGCATGCTGTTGTTTGTGGTCGCTGGTTTTTGCCTGTTGTTTAGGAGAGAGTATGCAGTCCTGTGAAATTCGGGTCTGAAATCCAATGCCGCGTGAACGATCTTTTTAAAGGAAGAGCCGCGACGGACCCAGCATTGGTTTCTTGACTTGGCTTCTGGATCTTTCCTTCTTTTCTGTTGTCACTTCTCTTGCTCAATTGCTTTTTGGGTTGTTTGTTTTTAAAAAAGGATCACCATGAGCGACACGTCTACTTCCATGGTTACCTTGGCAGGCACCATTGCCTCTCTCGTGTTGGCGGCGGGTCAGTTTGACAATCACTTGTGGCGCATTATTTGCATCTTCGGTGGCAGCAAGATCCTTCCTGTGGTCTATGGCGATCAAGCGTGGTATGTGCAGTGGTTGATTAGTTTGGCGGTGAATGCCGCCATTTGGTGGATTCCTCATCTTCGAACCGCATACAAGCGATCGGGATGTGTCGTCATTACTGGCGCCGACAGTGGCATGGGACAAGCGACCGTTTTGTATTTGGCCGAAACCAATGACAACGCCGCAAATAATGGTTCGTACGACAAGATTTTCGCCGCCGCCTTTAACGCCAAACAAGCACTGGAAAAATTGGAAGAAAAAATCAAGGACAAGTCCAAAATGAAATACATTCAAGTCATTCCCTTGGACGCCACCAAGGACGACAGTGTCAAACAGGCAGCCGCAACCGTCAGCACATTTCTCAAGGAAAAATCCTCCTTTCTCAGTGGCGTCGTCTGTTATCACGGCATTGGATACAATGGACCGCTACCCTACATGCCCATGAGTTTGTACCAAACCCAAATGGATGTCAACTATTTTGGTAATATTCGCATGACACAGGCATTCTTGCCACTCTTGCAGAGTACGACAAATGCAACCACGCACTTTCGGCGCATGATTTTCACGGGAACGGGTGGGGGACCATGCACGCCGTGTCCCTCGCTGCTCAGTGCCTACATGAGCTCCAAATTTGCCGGAGAAGCCATGGCACAGTGTCTCAAGCAAGAATTGTACATGACTCAAGGAGATGGACCCAAAATTGATGTGTCGGTAAGTATGTTACTGTGTGGATACTGTTTTGTTGTTTGCACTTCTCTGAGCGCTCATGTAACCACATCCTTTATTTATGTTTGTTGATTACATACACGAAGGTCATTAATCCTGGATTCGTCAAGCCCACACAGCTAATGGCAGATGGCATTAAACTGACTGAAAAAATGTGGAAAATGTGCGAAGATCAAGAGGGATCCTCCATTGCCAAGGATACCTACGGAAAAATGATGGAACACTTTCAGCTCTATGCCGAATTGCAACCGGGAACACACGTATCCGAAGTCAGCAAGGCGGCCGAACAGGCTCTGACGGCACACTCGCCTCGCTCCAGTTACAAGGTTGGCATTGACAGCAAATTGGCGCCCATTGTCGGCATGTTTCCCACGGGAGTGCGAGAATGGATTGCCAGAAATGGAATTTACGGCGTCTTGAGTCCAGCCAAGACTGTGCCAGGATATAGAGTCTAAGTAGACTAGCAAGCGGTTGGTTGGCAAAGTGAAGCAAACAGGAAAATGACAATAAGCAATGAAATCAATCAACCCAACAATCCAAGAGACTGATCCCTGAACGTGATTATTTACTAGCTCTTAGTTGATGGGAGGTCATAATGGTAGGATACTTTCACGGTGAATACAGAATAGTATTTGCAGTCAAGTACTCTACCGTACAAAGTACAAGTTAGGTAGTTGTCCAGATCGAGGCTAATTTGGTTGGTGCAGATTCTCGACGCCAGTGGCTGCCATCCAAGTGCTGCTTTCGTACCGGTACCGTTCTGCGAGCTGTGAAGGACATAAAAGGGAAATAAACAAGACAGTACCGGTAGTACCATGAGATGAGGTCATTACACCGGTAAATCGCATTGTGACAGAGGAACCGGAAAACCAAAAGGCTAGAAGTATGCCGTAGTACTTGGTGTTTTGTTTACGTACAATGTTTTTGTTTTGTTTTGGTTGCTTATTATTGTTACATCTTATGAAAGGAGATTTATGACTTTGTTGTGCTCAGCATTTGGAAGGTGGAAGTACTGAGAAAGGAAGGTTGCAGTGGTTCAGTAATTATTGGAAGTCGGAGGTGGTCCAGTCGACAGCGATTGGTTCCAAAAGGAGGTTTTCTTCACTGAGCAAGGAGTCGGAGTCGAACAACTCAAAGTCATAACTTGGCTCAGCAGGGTCGTCAGAAACAATGGTTGACACTTCATGAATCACGTTGTCTTTGGGGGAAGTTTCCAACAGATCAGCAATGATCTCTGCTGGGATGGTAAAGATGGACGTGACAGTAGCGTTGTCGTCTTCGTTCTGAGGCTTTTGCTCCACGGGAGAGCTAGTGAGGTCGCTCATGTTGTTGCTGATAGCAGACATGTCCAGGAGAATCGGAGTCACTTTTCGAACGAGAGGCTCTTGAGGAACGTTCATGGGAGCCGTTTGTTGCTGTTGTTTCTTGGCTTGCTGGACCTTTGAGTCGGAGTTTCGGCGACGCTTTTTCCCCTCAGAGACGGCATCACGAAGGCATTGAGAAGTCTTTTCACGAGCCAGTTCATCTGGTACAATGTGCCATGTCAAGGTTGCGGGATCGCGCTTGAGGAATCGTCCAGCAGGTGACAAGGCATGGACTTCGGCGACCAAGGAGAGTGACATGTTGGACTTGTCCTTCTTGTCGGCATTTGCGTAGACGCTGACTTTGGCGCGAGCCATGGCACGAAGCTTTTCATTTCCAATGTGCAGGTTGTTCTTTCCTCCTCGGCCCATCAAGACGTCGTTTTCGGTGGGAGTGATGGGGGCAACGCTAGAGGTGGAGTGTGTTCGTTGAGGCTGTGCCATCTGAGTCTGCTGATTGGGGTACTGAGGCATTGCAGGGTAGTAGAAGGCTTGATTTGGGTAATATGGATAAGGAGCGAATGTTTGGTTCATCATGTTCATGTTGTTGCTAGTGTGTTGATCGATCTTGCTGTGGTGGTTGTGCTGTTGTTGTTTTTGTTTTAGGTTGGAAGTTGATTGAAATTGTGAGCAGAAACAAGCAATCGAAAGCGAGACGCAGAAGACAATTCTTCGCTGGAAACCGGCCTTTTTGGAAGCTCGACAGTGTTCGCGAGCGCTGGATCTTGCCAAAATGAACCAGCGCACTTAGTGGGATACTGTAGCTGAAGAGCTGTTGAATGTTGCAGCATGCACTTTTGATAAGAGTGTGCTTGTGTGCTCCACTTTCCACGGTACTCCGACACATAACGGGGTCTTATCGGACTTACTGTAGATTCTGATGAAGACATCGAAGAAGCAGGAGCATTTTTACTACTGAAAGATTTAAAAATAATTCGTCTCAAGTGGTCCAACACGTTTTGCCTTATTACCAACCGGCACCAGGTGTTTCACCAGCTTCCGGATCCACATGATTTGGTTGCTCACTTGGATCTGACGACGAGACCATCATCATCAATCACATCATGCACAATGATAAACCAACGCCACCACCCGACGAACCTCAGGTTTTGGGAGAGCTCGGCCTTTGCCATCTTGCTATTCTAAGATTGGATGACTGAGAGTTAGGGGACGTCAAATCGAACATCAGGAAGGCATAGGCGTTGGCTCGTTCGTAGCAGTAGCAGTGTTGTAGCTGACAGCAATAATGACACCGAACAAATCAACTTTTATCAACGAACTCAACGATGTTGCCATCCAAAAGAAGAATGAAGTCTTTGCCACATGGCATGAGCTCAATGGCACCATTGGTCATGAATACACTTTTGGAAAGCTATGGGTCGAAGCTGGAGACATTGCACACTGCCTCCACAAAGATTGGGGAGTCCAGAAAGGAGACAAGGTAGTCTTGTGCTATAACTTTGGCTTGCACTTCTTTGCTGCTTTTCTTGGTTGCTTGAGAGCTGGGGTTGTGGCCATTTTGGTTTATCCACCATTCCCGCCTCTTACCAAGACACTCACCAAGATGGAGAAAGTCATCAATGATTGCCAGCCTGTGTTGATCTTGACTGACATGGCCATCATGGCAATGAAGACAGTGGATGAACTAAAGCCATTCTCAAAGAGCAAGGGGATGTGGCCTAAGGATATCCCTTTTAAGGTCACTGATGCATTTTCTTTGACTTCAAAGACAAGATCCTTTGATCAGGAAGACATTCTTGAATCTGACATTGCCTTTTACCAATACACCTCGTAAGTACAACAATTGAATGGAAGAGGACAAGAAAAGAATTGTCCTTTGCTGTATAGGGCATTGGCTAACAAGAACACTCGACTCAATATAGGGGAAGCACTGGTGATCCAAAAGGAGTCATGGTGACTTTCAAAGCTTTACATTCAAATGTGAAGCTCTTCCGGGATTGCATCTTTTATGGCTTTGCCAGAGAGGGACAAAGTGCCAATGACACTGTTTGCTTCTCCTGGTTGCCACAGGTGAGTTCAGTGAACCTCTCTGTCATTTCATATGTAATGAATTGTCAGCGTAGTCTTACAGACCTCTCTTTTATTCAGTACCATGATTTTGGGCTAAACTTTGGAGCCATACTGCCATTTCTGGCTGGATGGAGAGTGCACTTGATGTCACCCATATCATTTATCAAGAAACCACTTCTATGGCTGGATCTCATGTCAAAGAACCGGGTTTCTTTGAGTGTAGCACCAGACTTTGCTTATCATCTGGTGACCAGGAAGTTCACAGAAGCAATGGCTATGAATGGTGGGAAGGTACCCATCTCCAATTTTGATCTGTCTTCAATCTTCAGCTTACTAAATGCTGCAGAACCAATTCGCCTTGACACTCAAGACAAATTCACAGTGACATTCTCTGAGTTTGGCCTGTGCAAAGATTGGTTTAGTGCTGCCTATGGTTTGGCTGAAAATGTAGTTGGAGGGACATGGCTGCCTGGATACCATCTGTCGAAACCTCGTGGTGATGATAACAACTTATTCTTGGCTGTAGGGTCTACTGAGACATTTCATGACACCCTGACTGTGAAAATTGTTGATCCTGTAAGCCAATGTGAACTTCCTGATGACCAAACTGGTGAGATTTGGATTGCCGGCCCTTCTGTTGCTGCTGGATACCATGGAAAGCCAGAACTCTCCAGTGAGGTATTCCAAGCCAGGCTGCTGCCTCACGAAGATTCTTCAAGAGATCAGGATGATACCAATCTTGGCATCACATTCCTTCGAACAGGGGACCTGGGCTTCATGCAAGATGGGTACTTGTATGTTTGTGGCAGGATCAAAGACTTGCTCATCATCAACGGGGTCAACTACTATCCCCAAGATATTGAGCTGGCTGTTCAATCCTGCAATGGTGCCAGGCCAGGATGTGTGGCAGCCTTCTCTTCGGACGATACTGGTGAAGGTGATGGCCAGCTTGAAGTTGTTTTTGAGATTAGGAATGCAAACAAGAAGACTGCACAGGCTGTCTGTGAGGCAATCAAATCTGTGATCATTCAGGACATTGGTATTGTTCCTTCCAAGATTGTGGCAGTGGAGGAAAGAAGCATAGCCAAAACAACCAGTGGCAAGATCCAGAGAAGGAGAAACAGAGACTTGCTCCATGCAAATCAACACAAAGCTGTCTTTGTCCTTGATGAGTCATCCATGTTGGAGTTAGCAGCAACCAGTGGTGGTCCCCAAGAACTAGCTCAGGACCTGCCTCCTGCAGAGAAGTTTGATGCCATCATGAATTCACTGTTTGGATCTGACTATGATCCAGATTCTGGATGGGATGATAACGGCCTCACTTCCCTTATCTTGATTGAGCTCAACAACAAGCTAGCCCAATCCTTTCCAGCATCCATCCCCAGTGACTTTCCTGACCAATATCCAACCCCAGGAGCCCTGAAAGAGTACATCCTCAGCCCAAACCATGGATCGTTCTTCCCCATTGAAGCCCCAAGCTTTGACAACTCCAACTCATGGGCCATAAGGCTTCCCTGGCCTGCAGTCACTCTTTTGCAGGGGATTGGCATTATTGTTCTATTCTTAATGCTGTCTGCAAGCACAGTTCCTTCCTTTTGGGGCTATGAGCTTATCACCTATGATGGAGCACCAACCATTCTCGGTGCGCTGCTGCCACTAGTCTTTATGCTTTGGCATATCACCTTCACAGCCATGGTTTGTCTTGCAAAGTGGATTATCATTGGCAAGTACTCTGCCAGAGAGGTTCCAGTGGCATCCTTATACTATGTCAGATGGTGGTTTGTTGACAGGGCTGTACACGTGTGGGAGATTTTCACTGGGAGGTATGTCAAGGACACTCCATGGCAATTGCTGTTCTACAAAATGATGGGCTGCAAGATCCACCCCTCGGCCAAGTTGGATTGCTTCGTCCGAGAATTCGATCTTTTGGAGATTGGTGAAAACGCCGAGATCAGTTTTGGGATCAAGTGTAGAAAGTTTGGGCCCTGGCAGGAGTCTGGGCAGTATGCTGGGTCTCCTACATTGAGGTTTAGGCCCACCAGAATTGGGGATGGCTGTGTGGTTGATGGGCAAGTGGGTCCTGGTGTTGTGTTGGGTAGTAACAGCAAAGTGGAGAAGCTAGCTGGGATTCCTGAGGGTGCTCAGGTCCCCAACTCTGCTGTTGCAACAGGGAGTCCTGCTCACCAGAGTGGAATGGTACAATCACAAGAGCATGGCAAGACGGGTATGACAGTTTTGAAAATTACCAAATGCTTGTGGCCCTTTTTTGATATATACTTGACCTTTGATTTTGCTGGTTTTGCTGCGTGGGCCATCACAACCTGGCTCTCTGGCATAGAGTGGCGCTATTCTATTGAGTTGATTACATTCCTGATTATAGCCCTCACAGGTATTTGCAACTTGCTGGCTTGCATCCCATTGAAATGGCTTTTGGTTGGATATCGCAGATCAGGTCCAGCAACCTCGATCTACCAAGAATCCCTTGATTGGATAGCTGACTACCACTTTTACACAAGCATCATTCTCCTTGACCTGTTGGCAGAAAACTCTGTAATGGTGAATGTGTTACTCTGGTTGATGGGTTTGGACATCGACATGGAATCGAAGGTGTGGGCTACACACTTTCCTCCCTCCAAGGTTGATATGATCTCTATTAAGAAGTCCACACTTTCTGTCACACATTTTGATGTCAAGCAAGACGATGAGTACAAAAAGATCAGTGTTCAAAACACCAGTATTGGGCACAGTGTCATTATTGATGGTGGTGTCACAATCGACTCAGCTCAAGTGAAGCCACTCACACATGTGAGAACCAGCATCCAAGGAGGTTTGACCACAAAGGGTGCAAGGCTGCGACTGTCACAAAGATTGGTGGTAGACCTTGCGGTACCTCTGATTATGGCAGGGCTCTTTCTCTCCCTAATCCCAACCTATGAGATCATGAAAATGAATTTTTTTGTTCCTGTTTTGGGTTTTCAAGTTGTACAAGTTGGAGTGGCACTTGCTGCATACTGTCTTGGATGGTACTTTCTCCTTGTGCTATTTCATTGGTTGACATATCCAAGCCAATACTTCTGTGGAACCAAAGGACAGACCAAGCCCTGGTCCTTGGCTATGTTTGCCATTTACATGGACTTGCACTGCTACCTCTGGGACTTATCCCTTCTTCCAATCTTCTTTGGCACACCCTTTTTCAACTGGTTTCTTCGGGGAATGGGGTGCAGTGTTGAGGGTCAGGCTCTCTTCTTTGGCATTCGTATTTATGATTTGCCATTGATAACTATCAAGGACAGAACAATCATTGATTCAAGCATTGTTTCTGGCCACTCTTGGGTCTATGAAGGTGTTTACATTGGACCAACAACTGTTGCCGGAGTGCTGCATGAGGGAACCTTCTGTTTGGCCAACACACATCTGGTGGACTCAGGCAAAGAGAGTCATCCAATGCAGTTTGTGCCTCCGGCTCCATCTCAAATCTCAAAGGAAATCGCAGAGTCTTCCACCACTACAATTTCTACATTGCTTGAATCATGAGTTTATGAAGTCAAGTGTTCTTTAGTGTCCCAGCCTGGTTGCCGTCTTACATTGGACAAATGCTCCTGCGCCTGTGCCCAAAATGAATGCGTTGGTAACGAACACGTTCTGGTCTTGGCAAAATTGATCCTTTCAATCTTGCAAGACATCATGTTTGGTTGGGAGCTGTCAAGGCAAGAATGCAGTGCAATCCGATGTGCCAACGGAGAAATTGCGCCGAACCCCACCGGAACCCCACCGGCAGTCACAAAGGGAGTGCTCTTCTTGGGTGTCCGAGCAGCGCCTCTCATGGCAATCAACAACTACGTCGAATTGTCCGTTGTAGCTGTTGTTTAAACTGTCAAAACTAAAACACTGCTGGCCTTGCCAACTCAGCTAGACTCAGCTATAGCTGCAAGTAGTAGTAGACCTGAAAGGCTGCCAGGACGCGCCCTTCGCTTACCAGTACAAAAAGAAACGGCGATGTGCAACCGGTAAGTACACAGCGTTAACTTGAGGAGCAACGATTGGTGAATTGGCCCAAAGTACTGGTACCGGTACCTGGTACGTACTAGTACCATAATCCCCTTTGCATCGTGGACGCCCTGCGTTTCGCCGTCACGATGGAGCGTGGAGGCGTGCTGTCGTCGTGGATCAACACGGTGCCAGTGAACCGAAGCAGGACCATACGGTAACTACAGTTTTACTCGACTGGACACACTCACAAACTGCCAAACGACAACCGAGGAAGGAACATCGAAGCCGAAACGAAGAGCATGAGCGAGAGCATGGAAATTGACCGTGACACCGCCGTTACGAAGATGCTAGAAGACGCAACGTTTCACGATGTCACTTTAGTTGGCAATGACGGTGTGAAGGTGGGGGCGAACCGTACCTTCCTTGGAGCTCGGAATCCAGTCTTCCGAAGAATGCTCTTTGGCGGGTTCACAGAGGCCACCAGCCGAGAAGTAAACCTCGGTCACCCTGGTGCTGTTGTGAAGGCAATCGTTGAGTACGTGCACACCGACACTGCAGGTGTCCTCACTGTTCCTCGCGACAATGGCGACGACAGCATGGAAGCCAAGGTCCCCGGGTTGGTTGGCTTGTTTCCCTGTTGAGTGCAGCGGAGTACTACGGGTTGCCAAATCTCACGGAGAAGACACGTGAGTGCCTCGCCAAACATCTCAAGGCCACCCCATCACTTTCTCTCGCCACGTTGGAAGCTTCGTCCAAAGAAGGCCCTTCCGTCCAAGAGGAAACGACCGAACTGGCCATGTCGCATCTTCGACTTGTAACCAACGGCGGTCTAGATAACAGTGTCGTGGTCCAGTTGACGCCATCCGTCTTGGAGTGCATTCTAAAATGCGACAAGAATGGCATGGAGGAGCTTGCATTGTTCAATATACTCCGCACGTGGGCTGAAAGCGACTGTACCATTGGTGGTGACCTCGATCGTCGCACAATTGCATCACAACTTGCCGAGCATATCCGGTTGGAATGCATTGACCCCCGAAAGTTGTCAACAGACGTCGCTGCTTGCGGACTCGTTTCGAAGGACCGGCTTGCAGAAGCATACAAACTCCAAGCCATTTCTGCATGTGAAAAACACAATTGTTCCTACGAGCAACGACGTGCTAGTAGTATTTGCGGTTTACCGGTGTGGGAAAGGTCCTCGTCTTTCATCAGCAGCAGTGACAAGCAGCAACATGAAACAGAGCTATTGAAAACGCCTCCGATTTCATGTGGAATTCATCGGTGGACAGTCCAAGTCGAGAAAATTTGCGATTATACTTGGGTCGGGATAGCATTGACAGGAAAGGAGATCAATCGCAACCATTTCCTTGGGTTCCAAGATGGCGGGTGGGTATACAGCCACAGTGGTACATGTTACCATGGAGGGCAAAATCAAGACTTGAGTTTGCCAAAGTTTGACGCAGGATCTGAAGTCACCCTGACTCTCAACCTTGCCACCGGCGACGTAAAGAATGGATCGTTGCTCGCCTCGGTGAACGGCGGTGCCGAGTCTGTTCTGTTCAAAGGGTTGCGCTCTCACCTCAATGGCAACAATGGTTTTGTTCCTGCAACTTCATTGAACCAAGGTGGGCAAATCCGTCTCACAGACTATCGAATTTTGCCGGCTTAGACTTCCGATGGAGTTTTCAATGTGGAACGATGCTTTACACTCGATGCTGCGCTATTGACGGCGAAGACGACTGATGATGTTGATGTAATTGATGATGATATGATTGAATCTATGAATGTTATTCTTTAGTCTATTGGCTTGCTTGGCAATTTATTTAAAATAATACAATACAGTTTGATGATACGTAGCGCAATCGTTTGAGGAATACTCTAGCGGAATCGTCGGGCGGGGAGGTTCTCTTGAGAATCTCCCCATCGGCCGAGGCTCTTCCTTCCTTCTGGCGACGCCGAGGCGCTCTTGGATTGTCGCCTTGCTTCAAGACGAACGTCAATGTCTTTGATTTTCTGAGCCTTCATGGAAACACAGCGTCTCTCCATGGATCGTCGTGGTCGGCTAGGAGGAGCGAGGCACTTGCAATGTTTGGAACCCTCAGAAGACCACCGCTGGAGGCTAGGTGGAGGAGGGACGCCGGTGTCTACTGAGTCGACACCGGAAACCGAACTGCATCCGCAGGAAGATGTGTCGAGTTCGACAACAGAAGGGAATGCAGGGACGATGATGTAGCTGGGGATACCGTTATCAAGATTCATGATGATGGAATGAAACAGGTGCTGAGATAAGCTGGTCTGATCGTAGCTGTTTTGGTGGTCTCGATCGTAGAATTGTGATCAAAAGCAGCTCCTAAAGTGGTGAGGAGTGAGATCGCTGTGGGTTGCTGGTTTTTTCAGCTGTTTCCCTTCGGGCCAGAGGCAAGTCCGAGGGTGAATCTGTGGGTCGCCCTGGCATTTTGTTAAATGTAAGTTGCCAGGAGCCTACGTGTCTGGAATACTTCAAAAAGAGAAGGCCCTTCTTCTATTCTATTAATACCGCCCAAACCTCAACAATGATTTAATGTCATCACTATTTGAACTCAATCCGAACAGGGGAAAAGGTGAATCGAACCAGAAATCGTTGCCACTGTAACCTTCGATTGCTCCGAAAAGCATCTCTGACTTAATGCTCTCAAACAACTTCAATAGCCGATGACTCTCAGCTGGTTTGCCAATGCGAACTTCTGCTGAACTGTTCGTTTTGTCCCTTGAAATTCAAGTTACGTGTTGCGTGCTGCGTGCTGCGTGCTGCGTGCTGCGTTTGCTGATACAGTAGCTCCTGATGCAGCTTCAGCCGCGTGAGCAGATGGTTTATGCTGGCAACCCCCCTGTACTCAGGAGCTACTCAGGCAGTAGAATAAAGGAGAAAGGAACCAAAGGAACAGTGACACTGATTACTCACTCAGCGACTACCGACGCATTGAAAGGTATGGGTAATGAAATTTTCAAGTTGCCCCAGTGGCTGCTTTGACTGCTGCATCGTGTCAAGGGAGGTGTAAAACCCAGGGTGGACTATGGGTAGCAATGTCATAGAGTGTAAACTGGTGATGCTAGAGCATGATCCAGTAGTCTCAGAAACAATGATTTTCTATTGAGTTTAATGTACTAGCGGTGGAGGCACTCACCTTCCCGTGGCAGCCCGGTTCAGCTATGTATAGCTGGTTTCGAGTTGGAAGCTACCGGGGCTCTACCAGTACAAGCAGATTGGGTGGAAAGAAGTTGACGGAATCGCATGAACATTGCGATCTTTGGAAACTCTCCTCTACAAGCTAGCTGGCTAGGATGTGAGCTGTGGAAATGCGATCTAATGTATGTTTACTCTTCCGTGCTACGACAACAGTACAGTAGTACAATCGATGCAATCCCATAGACCCAAACTCAATAAGCATAATATGCAGGGAACGGCAGCAAAGAGCTCTACCGTAAGCCTAGAAGTAGTCCACTGCACGCTTCCTCCCTTTTTTCTTTGCACTTTTGTTGATTGGTGACTTCTTGTCCTTGTTCAGCAGAATGCTCTTTTCAGGAGTCTTTGATGCTGCTTCGGAGGGATCCAGCGTTCGCAGACCATCCATGGAAGCCTTCCACGATCTTGCTTGGTTATGCTTGTCAAAGCTCACCCGTCGCTTTAGCTTCTTCTTCTTCTTTGTCTTCGTGTCCCCATCGCCTTCATCGGCTGAATCATCGTCCTTCTTGGATTTCTTCTTGTTCTTCTTCTTGCTGCCCTGTCCGCTGCTATTGTCATTGTCTTCCGCAAATTCTTCTTGTGTGTTCAGAGCTTCTTTCGCCGCCTTTTGATCCGACATGGTGATTGTCAAGACGTCTTCACCGCCATCCAGCTCTTCACTTTTGTCCGCCTTTTTCTTGTCCTTTTTTCTTTTCTTTCGCTTCTTCTTATCATCGGCATCGTCACCTCCATGCTGCGTGATATCCATCTCGTCCAGTTTCTTGCCCTTCCTTTTCTGCAATTTCACGTCGGTTGGCTCTTGGGCTTTGGCCATGCCTTGGTTTTCCTCGTCGTCATTGCCTTTCTTCTTGCCCTTCTTTTTCTTCTTCTTCTTTTCACCGGCAGCTGTCTTCTCCGCTGCCTTCGTTGATTGTTGCGCGTCATCGTCTTCATCATCGTCGTCGTCGCTCTCTTTGACAAAGCCGAGATACTTCAAGTCGTCATCGTCCTCTTCCATGATCTGTTCTTCCAAGTAGTCGGCATCGGAACCATCCTCCTCCACTTCCTCCTCTCCAGCCTCCTTGTCAAAGCAACTGTTTAGCTGCAGATCGGTTCCCATTTTCGTTCGTTGACGCTCGTACGTCTTGTGCATATCATACAGACTCTTCCTATTGGATTCAGGTGTTGATTCATCACTGGCCATTTCAAAAATGAATTTGCTGACGGTGCTGACATGCACTTGATCCAGGATGATGCGTTTGGTGGACTCGTCGTCGTCGTCTTTGGGTGGACTCACCAAACTGAACTCCATGAGAAACTTTTCCAGCACCTTCTCGACGGCCCTTGCTTGGACAATCCTGTCGCCAAAGCCATGGGCAGCCATGCAAAAGAAAGGCTCCATGATTTCCAAAAAGATGGCTTCGGTGACGGGCAAATATGGGCTCTTCTTGTCGCCGCGGTGGATAACTTTGGTCAACTCCTCCAAAGCGATATCAATGAGATGAAATCGCACTCCATTGGGCTGCTGCATCAATGCTTCTTCAGCAATGGCATCATTGAAGAGTTTGATGATCCCGAGACTCCACTGTCGCTTGGCCATGTACCTGTAGACTTCGGCGAGAATGTATCGAATGAGGGTGTAGAATTTGTCTACACGGTACTTGTCCATGTTGCCCCATTCACGGACCAGAGTGCGAAAGAATGTGCGAATCATCAATTGTGCCAAGGGAGCACCACGAATGTGTTTGTGGTCCTGATCCTCTTCGTCATCATTGTCCTCATCCATTGCATCACTGTCGTTGTCGTCGTCTTCGGCCTCGTCCTCACTGTCATCTTCCTCCTCCTCTTTGTCCCCAGATTTCTTCTTTTTGTTGCGTTTCCAATGAATAGTGGGAGTCTCATCCTCGTCGTCATCATCTTCTTCATCCTCGTCATCATCCATTTCTTCTTCTTGCTTCTGCTGCTGTGCTGCTTCTTCCAATGCCATTTGCTGCTCCATTTCCATATCGAGATAAGCCTGTCCAGCCATAATATCTTCTTCGACAGGCCCAGCCAGACACCACATCAACTTGGCAATGTGTTTGGCAAGCTCATCCTGAACCGGTACTTTATCTGCCATGTACAACGTAAACCAAAGTCCCTTCCACAGCTTGAGCAGATCCAGTTCGGACAATCCAACGACGTCACTGGCATCTTCTAGACCGAATCCTGATTTGGCTCTCAAATACTGGCTCAATCGCTTGACAGCCTTGTGCCGCGTGCGAGCTTCGGAAGCACCCAAGAATCGTCCAAAGCGACGCCATTCCGCGTCTTGGTCCTCGTTTTTCATCTTTTCTTCTATCATTTCTTCTTCCGGCTGTTGTTCCGTGGGGTCATGATCTTCCTTGACGGCTTCAATGCCAGCCACGCGCAAGTACGCCTTGGCTCGGGCTTCTGGATTGATAACTTTGGGCTGTTGAGGCCACTTGTTCTTTTCATTCAATTTTTGGCGCTTTTGTTTGCGGGTCAATTTGACCTCCTCCTTCTGTTTCACCTTGTCGTCATCGTCATCCTCCAGCGATCGTTTGGTGCCACTGGGACTGTTCTTGCTACTGCTGGAATCTACCAACATGGATCCAGCCGCCGCGTCGGCTTCGGCAAGTCCCTTTTTGTTGGCATCATTGGTATCAAGAGGGGCGTCTTCTTTGGCTGCTTCAGCTACTACCGTGGCTTGTTTTTGCTTGTTCTTGTTCTTCTTGTTGCGTCCCATTTTTCCAAAGGGAAGTCTCGCTAGTAGTAGCTAGCTAGACTTGTGACGTTGTTGTTAGTATGGTATCAGGTCCTTTCAATGGTGTTGCAGATAGATGAAGAAGAGATGAATGAACCCTTTTTGAATGTAATGAGAAAGCGCCGTCTTTGTTTTTGGTTGGATTTTGAATGGACGCAAAAAATACAAAGGGCAAGCGGACAGACGATCTTGGAAATCAACTCCCGCGGCAAAACACGTTGCTTTCCAAACCCAAGTCGGCCTGAAATCGAAACTGCAGTCCAAGCTACCGGTACCGGTACTGCATACCGGTACCCGTACAATACTAGTACCGAGCTCGACGTCTGGGACTTCACACAAGGCAGACCAGGTTCGGCAGTTTATGGGGCTGGTTTTTCGTTCTGGGATTGGCAAAGCTTGAGCATGGGACTTGGTCTTCACCACAATGGCTGCCAAAACAAGCCAGCTCCGGTCTCATCTCTAGCGCAGGAAGCACAAAGGGAGCGCGCTACTAGCTAGTAGGTGTTGGACGGAGCGTTGTTGTCGAGCCACTGACATGCTGTCTACCGCTAGGACTGTACTGGTGCCGATGGAGGCCACTTGCCACACACCTGTCCCGTTTTCAGTCCACTAATCCAGTGGTCGTCACGTCGTCACGCTCCCAAAACATCGGTCAACAAAATTCAACCAGAAGAAAGGGCGTCATTCTCACGTCGGGGCCATCAGAGGTCGCTTTCTGAGCCATGGTTTAAAGAAAAGAAGTGGTGAAGGAGATCGCTGATTCAAAACCTAATCAAATGCATTACATAAGCAAATACAATCATAAGGTGCTGAATAACGCTGTTTTTATTGCGAACAAGTGGTAACAGGCCATTCGGAACATTTTGCACAAGTATGCAATTCTGAGTCAAGAAATGAAACAGAACATACACGTCATGGCATGTCTTAAGGTCCTTTTTATTAAGTAAATGGTTTAAGTTAACTACCCTTAAATTCCTTTTCACCTTTTTCTGATATAATTGTTCGGAAAGCTTCGCTTTAAACCCGTACCACAAACGTCTTAAATCAGCCGAAAGTAACTCCCAAAGTCGATATCTATGCAAACGATAGCAGCTGCCTTGCATCTGCAACTCAAGGCAAAGACAGGATCGGTTATCCTCGAGTTACCCTCGAAGCCAATAAACATCATAACAAACAGCAACAAGAAACAAGAAAAAAGAGGAAGAGACAAGACAAGACATGACGATAGACGGCAACCGTATAGCATGGCCGCCGATTAAACCTGATGGTAGCATTGGTGAACACCAACCACCCCAGTATCGAGACTTTTCGGTGTTGCGGGAGGAAGATGTTCCACCCAGTCCCCAGCCGAGTTTGAGAGCGACTCGGAGACGCAAAGGTCCCAAGGAGCTTTCCTTTCCAACCAAGCTTCACGATATGTTGACGAACTGCAAGGCCGAAGGGCTTTCACATATCATCTCTTGGAAGGAACATGGAAGGTGCTTTGTGATCCCAGACCCGAAACAGTTTGCGGCGAGGTAAGAATAGGGGTATCGTCTTGGACAGTCCGCATACATGGGTAGCTGTGCCTTCTACCAGCTAGCTACACGAGTCAGCCATTGCCTTGATAGGCCACCACTTCAGTTTGCTTACACTTTGTTTTCCCCTCCTACATTGCTAAAACAACACAGGATCATGCCATGGTAAGCAGTCTTTCTGTGTTTTTCGAGAGCTACCCATTTGGTTTGCCGTCGTACTCACTGGTTTTGGTGTTCTGGTTTTGCAATTATAGTTATTTTAGGCAATCCAAGTTCCATAGCTTTCAGAGGCAGTTGAACCTCTACGGATTCAAGAGGGTGACGACTGGTAAGTCTGCGGTGGGGAGCAAAAAGCCTGGACAGCTTATGGACATCATTTCACAGACTGACGCCCTCTCCCCTCCCACACATTCTCATTCCAGGCCCTGACCGTGGAGGTACGAAATTCCAACCAAATAGCACCCTTTAGAGCCCCCCTTTCGTATCAGAAGCGTTTCTCACGGTTGTTCTCTCCTTACACAGGCTACTACCATGAGATGTTCCTTAGGGAGAAGCGCTTCATAGCCACGAAGATGAAGCGTACCAAGGTCAAGGGAGTGGGGCGTATGCCTTACTCTCCGGACAGTGACCCTGACTTCTATGGACTTCCTTTCTTGCCGGAAATTGGAGGCAAGATCGTCGCCGAAAGTAGCATCATGAGGCCCACGGCATTTGCCGCCAAATCGGAGGACACCGCCGTCATCAGCGCCGCGAGCAGCACTAGCGGAGGTGCTAGTGTCGAAGGCATGTCCACCTGCAGCATCAACTCGTCTGGAGGGTTGAGCACTCCTGAGCCAACCACTGTTGCGAGTGCTTTTCCTGGACACTTCTTGTCCATTCCCACACGAATGACTGTAGGCATTCCGACGCAGCAAGCCAACGGTATCTCAGCACTCCGCGAGAGTCAAATGACCCAGAGCCCAGTCCCCACTGCGTCTGACGAAGTGGCCAGGTCTGCTCAGAGGATTCTCGCTGAAGTCAAAGGAACCGTCGTCGCTCTTGGAGCCAAAGCAACCTCTGCGAATGGCTTTGGTGTTGCGCCCCCCAAGGCCGTTACCCGTCACGTCATCCCATCTCTTCCTCTTCCATCATATTTCCAGCTCCCTCCTCCTAATGAAGCCGACATGATCATGGGCGCACTCACTGCCGTTGCCCCATACTACAATTTTGATACCAACTACGCTAAAAGCAAGACTTCGCAACCACCCTTCTTGTAAGTATATACCCGCGAACCCATCTTGCCCCATTTTGACCATAATTGCCTTGCTTTGCTATTCCAGCAAGAGACACAACATCGAGAGCACTTGTACTGTCAATCATGCCCTGCCTACACACAGTGCTCGATTTGAATATATATCCCGCTATCCTACCAACCACAACCGCATACCTTGCAAGCCATGCACATTTTCCCCTATTGCACAAACATCTTTACCTTGACTATATATTGGCTTGCTCCAATCATCCTGCCACGACTTCGAAGGCACGAGCTCCTGTTGGAAACATACCAACTTTGTACATCTGCTCCTCTGCCATTGCTATCTCCCGATCGGGCGTTGCACCATACCTGCAGCCTGTTCGGTCCCTGAACATTCAACTATACTCCAACGCTTTCTCGTATGACCAGCATACGAGGAAGTTATTCGATTCGGTTCAAATCAAACTTCCTGCTCCAGTTCTACGTCTGGAGGCACCCTCATATACCGCATTTTCCGGTTTGAATCGAATCGCTCACCGTCCTGAACATTTCATCCTGAATATTTCGCTACTAGTCAACATGACACCATTCCTATTCGAAGTCCAACGCAACCAACTACAAATACGCCTGTCTATACATTCAACCTCATGTACACTTTCCTATTGATTGAGACGACAAGTGACGCTGACTGCTTACACACACTTGTATCTACCCGTGTAGCTGTCGAGTCCCGCTATTGTCACTCAATCATCGTTGCTCATACCAAGCGACAAACCATAAGTACTCCCAAGATAACTCAATACTAAGAGTGCTTAAAAAAACTGCCCAGTTGCCAACTGTTGTGCTACTTTGATTCCGTCTTTGCTGTTGCCGTTTGTGGAGATCGTCACGGGGGAAGAGAACATTGTGTCTACTGGTATAGACTAGCTATTGCTAGCGTCGAAGAGAAGGGCACCATTGTGGCGGTTTAACCTGCTTCCTCGTTATAGCCGCCAGACTCTGATGATAGGACGGAATCATAATTCCTATGCCCTCTTTTCTTCCTCGTTGAAGCTGCTGCTGCGTGCAGGAGCGCCACGAGCACACTCGTTTTCATAGTCTAAGGAAGGCGAAGCTTGTGTCATAACATCGTTGCCGCTTGCATCACATTCCTTGCTGCAACCATCTCCACTTCCAGCAGCAGACTCGTTCTCACAGTCTGAGGAAGGTGTTTCTGGCGTTGAATCACCAGTGCTGCCTGTCTTACCTTCCATGATGGCAATGCTGCTGCATCCAGGATCGCCAAGAGCACAGTCATTTTCACAACCTACGGAAGAAAGCGTTGATGCCACATGATTGTTGTTATTGGATTCTGAAAAGAGACATTCCTGGCTGGTCCTCTCTGCTTCCTTGTCGCATTCCTTCGCATCTGACGAACGGAGGGAATCGGAATCATTGTTGTTCCTTTTCTCGTCTCCTTCCTCGTCGTCGTCGTCGGCAGCAGCCTCGTCGTTACAGTCTGCTTCTGCTTCTGCCGTGTTGTTATCCTCTTTGGTTCTTCTTGTAGGACAATAATGATGCTGCAGGAGCAGTGGATTGATGCTTAAAAAGTAAAAGAGACAATCCAAATCATCTCGGACATGCACCAGTACATCCATCCATTCCGTTTTGGATGCCTCTTTGCAATCCTGCCGCAAGAGTCGTTGCCGACCCAACTTGTTGAGTTTCAAATAAAAGGCAATCTCCTCTTGTAGATTGCGATTGTCAAATAGGAATAGTCGTTCCAGTTTGTAATTGTATTGGAGCACCTGGCGAAAGGCTTCTCGAATGGGTTTGGTCAACATACTGGCAGTACTCCCTACCCCCGCCAGTCGTAGATTACGGATATTGGAGGTACTGTATCGTCGTGTGTTGTTGTTGTTGTTGTTGTTGCGGTTTCGTCTCGGAGCAGCTGATACTGCAGATTGTGCCATTGGTCGTCGATGGTGTTGATGTTGATGTTGAGTAGTATTAGTATCATCGTGTTGTCGCAACAGGGACTGCCCAATGACCACGACGGCTTCTTCCGATAGATCAAAATTGGAAAGACTCAGCGACTGCAGCGTATGAGAGCTACTAATGAGTTTCTTCAAGCTGTCGTGTGACAAGTTTCCCAACGCTGCCAATTTGGTGGCACTTAATTCGACTTCTCTCAACTGAGGCAGTTGGGCCAGTGATTCCAACAGTGGATCTAGCGTACAACCACAACAAGCATCTTCTTTCTTCTTGGCATCCGTAGTAGAAGTAGTAGTAGTAGAACTCCGTCTCGATGCAGCAGAATTTCGTCTTGTATTATTGGTTGTAGTATTCTGTGTGGGTTCTTGTTCTTGTGGATTGTTCGTTTCGTTGCTGTTCGTCAGACGACACTTGATAATTCGGAACTCACGCAAGTTTCTACAGGCAGCCAAGGCGTTGGCCCAATCTTGTAGCTGTTGTTGTGGCGGTGGTTCTTTCTCTTGTTGTTGTTGATGATCTTGTTGCTCATGAGAATCTTCGTCATGTTTTTCGTTCTTCTTTTTGGGAAGGAACAAACAAATGTCGGTTCTCCAGAGTTTGAATTCGATCAATTTGCGAGCACTGCGACTGACGTTGGTAAATGCTCGCACGGGCAACCGACACACAAAGGGAAACCGATACGTATTAAAGTACAGTCGAGCGAGTTGTGGCAATCGGCCTAACACGGCAAAAAAGAGCAGAATCTCATGTTCCGATGTGTCTCCAAAGGATTCGTGGATCAACAGCAGGGCTTCTTGGATCGATGTGTTGTGCCACAGTGCATCTGTAAAATCGTGAAGATTGCTCGTACTACTCAAGAATACTTGCAAGTCCACAAAATCCTCGTCGTTCTGACGAAGACGCTCATGAGTCAACTCATCGGCAGAGCAAAACAGAAAGGCGCCGCTTCCAGGGTCCATCTTGTCTCTTTCTCTCCTTTCTCTCTTCTTCTTCCTACATGTACTACCTCTAGCTAGCTAGTTGTCAAAGAATCTGATGATGCTGGCTTCGGGTTGATGATTCGTCAACTCTGCAGAGCTGGAATGCACCAATTCATCTCTAATAGGAAGGAACTTCGTAGATTCATTGGACTGGTGAACTACATGTACTACTACTAGTACCCAGACATGTGGATCAGACCATCACACATACTAGCACCACTCGCTACTGTTGGGTAAGGCAACGCTGTAGCTACTAGTAGAGTAAAAGTCATTTTAAGACGGACCTTTCCGCGGATTATTCTCTTAAGAGGTGGATCTCGAATATTGTACTTCTAAGTAGCTGAATCGAAATGGCACATGTTGTTGAGTATCCCATTAAATTCCCAAGATCAGAGTGTACTTATTGGTGGAGTTATGGTTGATTGAAAAAATCCTCACTTTTGTGACGAATTCTTTTTCTCTGCAGTTTAAGACTTTACAGTACTTAACTGTGTAGGATCCTACATAGGAGAGTCCTGTAAGATCCTACAGAACACTTAGGAAGCACCTCAATTGCTCTGGTACTGAAGCTACGTAGGATCCTACGTAAGAACCTCTATTAATTACATGGTCTTAATCTTCACCCGGTCTTAAAATGACTTTCACTCTAATTATCAAGTTAATCTGTTGATTTGGGCGAGCTGAGCAGAAAGAAATCTTTCTGGCTGGTCGCTCTGGAATCTGGTTTTTGAGAATGCCAGTTTCCTTAAAATCCTGCGTCGGTGCGGTCTTTTTCTTATCCGGGTCTGCTAAATATCTAGACTGGCCAACACACTCCTGCCGTGGTTCCCTAATGGATCCACGGAATGATTAAAATTAAACTAAATAGGTGGATGCCCCATAATGAAAGCGCGATGTGCATGGAATAGGGCACCTTGGAGGGGCTTCGTGAGAAAGTCCCCGCGCATGTCCTGTGTGGGACAATACACCACTCGTACAATTGCCTGCTTCACTTGGTCGTGAATAAAGAAGAAACGCACATTAAGAGCACGAGTACGCTTACCGGCGCTGCTCTTACCATTCTCGGCGAGAATGATAGCACTCTTGTTGTCTTGGTAAACGATGTTCTCCTGAACATCAACACATTGAGCTTCCAAAAACAACTTGGTCCACAACAAATGGCTCATAACATCGTCAGCTCCAATGAGTTCGGCGTCGGTACTGCTCCGGGCGTTGAGTTTCTGCTTGCTAGAGACAGCAATTGGGGCACCGCGGCCGAAACTGAGCACTCCTCCAGTGTGGGAACGATAGTCTGGATGCACAGCAAAGTTGGCATCCATCCACCAGCGAATAATGCGAACGTCGTCAGCATGGAGGATGAGCTTGTGGTTCAAAGTCTGTTGGATGAACTTGAGGCCTTGGAGAAGTTTGCCCTAATCGTTCTGGTTCGGCTGCTTCACTCGAGTACAAAGGACGGTAGTCAGGGTTTGCATATCTGGACGTGCACGCTTACAAGCAAAGAGCAACTTGGCTGTGTTCGTGTGAAAAGTTTCCTTTGTCCCAGGACCCAAGTTATCACCATTGCCCACAGAAAACAGATCAGTTGGGGCTGCACTTGGAACCGAATGGACATGGTCAAAGTTCACAGGAAATTCCTCCAACATCTTGGTCAGATAGTCAATCATGTCTATCTTGACCTTCCCCTTCTCAGAGAAGTCAATTGTCGTTCCCAGATAGTCATGTTTGTGACCTCTGGTAGCTTTGACAGCACCATACATGCCATACTTTTCGTTGCACCAGGCTAGGAACTCATCGTTGACCTTGGCAAGTTGATGACTCGATATGAGATCATCCACGTGAAAACGGATTGCCTGCTGTTTGCCATTCACCATTCTGTTGGCAACACAGGCATCATAGGGATTGAATACAAAGCCAAATCCTTTTAAAAGTGCTTATACCAGAGAAGACTCGTGATCAATATGCCATAGAGTGCTTTCAATACCATAACGCGAAGAACAGGACAACATCCTTTCTCATAAGCAAGAAGTGGTTGGAGCTTTGGTTCGATTCGTCAACGCTGCAGAGCTGAAATGCACCCTTGACGGCCGAAATAATCTCTGAAGTTAGTTGTGCAATCTCTAAACTGAAGTTGATCTGTCTCACAGTGCGTACTCTGGTTTGGTAACGCTTTGTGGTCTGTATTTGGTTTGGTAACGTTTTGCGGTCTGTATTTCTTATTAGTCTACTGTTTTCTACATCATTGCTCCTTTTTGAAGGCCATGTCAGCCAACAAACAAAAATGACCCGAAGGCCAACACATAACACAGATTGGGCATGGGGCTCACAATCATTTGATCCTTCGACACGGCTAGAGTGATCTGGGCTTTAAGACCGACCGTTTTGCGCAATATTCTCTTCAGAGCTGTATATTGAATATTGTACTTTTAACGGGTGGAATCGATAGAGCACATGTTGCTGAGTAAGCCAAAAAATTTCCAACTCCATGTGACACATATTGAAGGAGTTATGGGCAGTTGAAGATTTCGCCCAATCACCAGGGAATTCTTTTCCTCTGCTTTATAAGACCGAATGACGTCACACGTAGCCTCTAGTACTGAGTCTACGTAGGAACCTACTTGACGTCACAGGTAGCCTCTAGTACTGAGGCTACTACACCGCAACTCCTTTTCTTCGGCACCTCCATGGTCCCAAAGCACCTCTACGGTACCGGTATGATACGACTATAGAGGAACGAATCCAAAGCACCTCTACCGGTATGGAAGAACCTCTATCAACACCTCTGTACTAGTACACGACGTCGTATCCTCTATCGACTCTCGTTCCTCTATCCACAGCCAGTCAACACTCCTTTCTACACTCCTTCCTCTATTGACAGCGAGCCTCAAGAAGATGGTCAGAGGCAGTGAAGAGATGCTGCCTAAGGAATCCACCAAGGCTAGCTAGACAACCACAGAGATCTAGGATACTACATGTATCGGTACTACGATACCAGTCTACTAGTCTACTAGCTAGCTAGGTCTTACTGTAGTTGTACTATAGACATTACTGTACAATCCGAAGAGTATTACCAGAGTCTTAAAAATGCACTGCGGGTCTTAATACCCAGATCACTCTACGTACTTTATTTGCAAGGAAAATTCCCTTTAGACCGAAAAAGATGCGTGCTCGAGACTACTAATGACATGGCGGCTTCGATCGAACGTATAGAAAGGAGACTCTTGGTGGAATGCATCGACAAGCCGGCAGACAAGGTTTCATCGTCTCCACGCCAGCTGATGTTGCACGTGAACAGGTCCTCTTTGGGATGAACATCCGGCGGGACCAGCCTCGTACCGCTGCTGTCAACGTCAGGGCTGCACGATTTGCAGATTGGGACTTTCCATGTCGTGCGTTCCCGTTTACAATGCACTCCCAACAATACTGAACGAACGATCCCTCACAACAAGGGCTGCAGAATATGGGTGGCCCGAAGGGCCATGCCCGAACGTCATACTCAGGACTCGGTGCACCTCTGTGGCAGTCACAGCGCCAGCAGAGCCTCCTCTCAACTTCCAACGCACACCACAACAATCCACTCGCAAATTTGATCACCCAAACTCATCGCTGAAGATAGCGATGGCGAGTCCACGAACCTCGCTAGTTACTTAAAGTATCACTTTCGGTTAATCTTCTTACCACTACTTTTCGTTTTTACAGCTAACTTATTTAAGGACGAACAAGGCCCATTCTTTTTTCCATGTCACCTTCACTGTGTCGCTTAGGGGTTCTTTTTCTTGGCTGCATTCCTCGCATGATTTACTGCAGAAGGAAGTGACGCCGCTTCAAGCGACAACAGCAGGGCAACACTCTCCATCCTGTTAGCGACCTCTCCGGCAGACAACTCCATCATTCTTGGGTTCTCAATGAACTGATTGGTGATGTCTTTGCGCACTATCCTCATGATGTCATCGATCCTGGTCTTTCCACCGGGGGGGAGCTTTGGCTTCTTGGGCTCGGCTTTCTTCTTTGGTTGCTTTGGCTCGCCCATTCTGTGCGGTGTCGCCGGTCCTTTTTTTGCAAGGATTCTGGCATTGTTTTGGGATTCCTCAATGAGCCACTTTTTCAAGGTGCCTTCGCTGATGGCATGATCGTCCTCGGAGGAAACTGTGGTGACAGAATTCGGCGATGCTTTCCGTTGCACCACCCAAGTCGGTGAGTCTTAGTTCTGCTGGTAACAAATGTATCTGCAAGCAGAAACATAAATGGCGACTCACCCATTTCCATGTGTCCCCCTGTGTAGGATCCCTGGTCGAGACCAGCTAGTTGCCGGTTGATTTGCTTCTCAATAGAGGGAACTGCGTCGTTCCTTTTCATTGGTGGGGCATCCTCTGGTGTCCTGGGGGGTCTCTTGGCGTTACCGGCTGGATTCTTATTCTCTTTTTCAGGTGTTCCATACAGTCGGTCGTCCTTCTTTTTGCCCTTTCCAGTTGCAACCATGGGTGACGCTGGGGGAAGTCTCTGCGGTGTTTCTTGGGTAAGGTACCCAAAGATGCCGTCTTCATTCGGCGATGGGGGCGAGCCAGGGGCTTTTGCCGGAGACATCAGTGGGAGTTTTGCGGGCGACATCAACATGACGGTCCTGCCTCGCAGAATGTACTTTACACGGAGTATTGGTGGGCCATTCTCTTTATGGCGACAAGCAACAATCAGCCTTTCAATGCCTCCAAGCATGTAAATTGGAGGGAGACAGAACAATCCGTCGGGGTTCAAAATTCAAATTTGAATGCTTCCCAGCCAATCAATGTGTGCCACCTCAGCCACAGCCCCTTGATACCGTCACACAATTTGCCAATAGGGGATGGCGTCGGAGGTGCCAGGACTGTACTTAGGGATTTGGAATATTCCAAAAGCAATCTACATTATCTGTTAACGAGTAAATAGCTCTGTAGTTAATCGCTAGCCGGTCCAATAGATAGTGCTCCCAAAATCGCCGCTGGTGGCTTTTGGCGGTAGTTTTGATGACTGTCGCCAGCCGAATTTTGAAAGCATCGTTGATGTCTGTTTGTTTTGGTTTAGTCACACATTTTCGAGGTAGTCGTTGCAATGACGAATCCCTTGCGAGGACTCTTCCGAAAGGGTTGGCAAAGGAGGAGACGTAAAAACAAAAACCGTCCAAAGACTGGCAATGGTGTCCTCAGCCGTGGTCAGCGGCGGAAGAGGGTGCAGAGGGAAATCCATGAACTGGAGAAGGGTGGGGTTATGCCGTCCTTCGATGAGTTGCAGACTCTACTTACTTGCAGCGAAAATGCCTCCAAGTTTTTCTATGACAACGGTGTTCTCCGTCCCCCCAAAAACTGTCCAAGATGCACTCATCCGATACCGTATGCACCAAACAAAAGGAACACAGTTCGTTGCCGAAGGTCTGACTGCCCCTTCATCGTCCCAACTGCGTGCGACAAGTGCGGTGACCAGGTCGCTTATTACACAGAAGATACTACGGGGGAGGTTCTGTCGGCAGTTTGCCAAAACAGCGCCTGTCATTGGACGTGGAAACAGACCGGCACTTCTTTTGAGTGCTCCATCAACAAAGGAAGTGTTATGGAGAACTGCAGGTTGGAGAAAAACAAAATTCTATGGCTTATGTACCTATGGCTTCTGAAGGTTCCAGCAAGAACGGCGAGTGTTCTTTCGGCAGTATCAGAGGGAACCGTGAGTCGGTGGTATCGTCATTGGAGACGAATGGTAACAGAGATGGTCCTGCAAGCTGGAAGGGAGGAGTACATGCTTGGTGGTCCTGGCCGGATAGTTGAAATGGACGAAGGAAAGTTCGGAAAGAGAAAGGACAACCGAGGAAGATGCGTGAATGCTGATTGGGTATTTGGAATGGTCGAACGAGGTGGTGAACGAAAGATGGCGCTGGCTGTGGTGCCCAACAGAAAGGCTGACACCCTGCTGCCCCTTATTACAGCTTTTGTCCTTCCAGGAACCACAATCCACACCGATATGCATGGTGGCTACAACAAGATCGAGGAACAGGAAGGTTACGACTACAAGCACCGGAGACTTTGCCATAAGTATGAGTTTGTTGCCCAGGATGGTACACACACCCAGACGATTGAGGGGAACTGGAGGGTTCTCAAGAAAAATGTACCTGAGAGTCAGAGAGAAGGCAGCGATCTACAGGAATACTTGTACGAGTGCATGTGGAGGCGGAAGCACACAAACAACCTTTGGGGTTCCTTCATGATTGGGCTGGCAAGTCTTCGTTACAGGCCAGCCGACATTGATAGATTGTGGGACCACAGAGAGTACGTGGATGATCCAGAGAATTGGGATCCGGATGACACCTCCGAATCCAGCGACGACGTTAGCCTCTCCGCGGACTCTAGTGTCAGCGAAATCAGCGCAAGCGACCCCTCTTCGGACTACATGGTGATCTAGATAGATGTTTTAATTGTTATTGTAGTGGTATACTGTTTTGTTGGTCCATTATCTTTGTTACGGCGGCGGCAGGTTTCGTCATGGTGGCTGTTGTCGCTCCTCTTTTTTGTTATCTGTTGGTAGTGTCATTGGCAGCTTCTATGAATACCGTTGTTTATTGGTGGAGAGTACTACTGTGTGATTTTTGTACTCCTGGTATGTACGTGTATCCAATTTGGAGTACGAACATGACGGTTGTAATTCCTGCACCTAGCCTCAAGGAGATATGTGACATGGTAATTCGTTTGTCAAAAAACGATGGTCACATAGGTGGATTACGTCGGTGGTAGTCACGAACTGTGAGTGTATTTAGAGTGCGGTGGACGTTTATACTGAATTAGTACAAACCGAAGTTCAACAGACTTCGCCAAAGCGGATTCGCCTAATTACAGGTTCTAAGTAATAATCCTGTTAGTGTACGTTGTTTCTGTAGAGGCCGTTAATTGGCGACCTATCCGGTAGTCGTTGTACAGGATTCCAGTAGAAATCGACAAAACCAGAAAACTTTTCCATCTCACTTTCACAATTTGGAATCGACATCGAACCTATGCCCAAATTCTTCTTCAACACCACAAATAGTGCGACAATGACATGCTGCTGTTTTACCCCGATAATTCCCTCACTTTCGAAAAGTTTGCAGAAAATCAGACGATGGTGGAATGGTGCGTTCAGTGTATTTACGGGACGGTCAGTTATGTCTTCGTCCAATTGCACTCCCCAGCAGCAGTGATTTTGGTTTGCGAAATTTGTTTGTGGTTTGTCGCCTGCGCATTTTGTCGTTGAAAGCTTTCTCACGCCTGCCCTTTTTTGCCGTTAGGTGGTGGCTCCCTTTGGGGAACCTCCAGGGCATAACGGTGGCAACTACCCCAGAATATTCAAAGGCTTCAACCGGACGGGTGCGCCGATTGAACGCGTCCTCGCAAAACTGAGGCTTGTGGACAAACATCAGTGCTAGGAGGTGGATCCAGATCTGACTGCAGGGGTTGGTGAGAATGCTTACGACAGCAGGCGTACGAGATCGGACAGAGTTGTGGTAGTCCGCACCTCGAAACCGGAACGGCTCGGATGCGACTCTAAAACTTGCGTAGTTCATTGATGATACTGTCAATGGCTTGAAAGTCTGACTGGAATAGCAGGTGCTTCAAGATCTTGCCCTTGTCAGAGGGTTGACTGGCTCTGGCCTCCAAGCAACTTGTAGTGCGATCCGCAAAGGGATGATTGCCAGTGACGACAGTCTTGTCCGGGACCAATCCAAATTGCTTAGCATAGATCAACTCACAAACACACTGCACCAAGGAAAGAAGATAGAACAAAGGGTGGTTAGCGAGTCCAGTGATAACAGCGTCATCATGAAAGTCAGTTAAGTTCTTCGTGATGTAGCTCGCTGCGTGAACAGACTTACCCACATTCTACTGTACAAATCAGTGACAGGATTACGCACTACCACAAATTGTGAGGCCTCCTGCAGGGCCGCTACAAAGGGGGACGCCTCAATGGGTCGATCCAGTTGTGCTTGAAGCGTTTGCGGGTTGCCCTGGGGAAGAGCCAGGGCACATATCCAGAAGTTTGGCTTCTTGAGGAAGCGTTCAAACGGTTCGAGTAACGAGGTCACAAACTCGATAACCGGCTCATCCCAGCAATGGGTACAAAAGATTTCAGCCCGGAGGCCCTTGGGATTGAGAGTCAGAGCGTATGAAGTGTTGGATTCTTGACAGATTGGTATGAGAATGTGTTGGTTGACATCATGCATGGTTGGCTGGGTTTGTGCATTGCCATTTTTTCCGGCAAAGGTTTTGGACACCAAAGCTCTGAAATCCTTGAGCTGGTCATAGGAAACGCCCCACATGACTGGCTCATTGATGCTCATCGTCTTTTTGGTGTTGTGATGATGATTGTTGATTTGTGATTTCGTTTTACCACGCTGCGACGATGAGTGATCTAACGATGTTTCTGCATCGTCCTCACCATCATCATCATCAGCCAATCGCTCGTGGGCTTGCTGTTCTGCCTGCAACCGCTCTCTAAGTTCCTGCAGCTGCTTGCTTGTTTCAATCTTCTCGAGGGACAAGTCCATTGATGCTACTTTAGATTGTAGAGCTGATGCTTGTTGCGTCAAATCCTTCACGGTCCATTGAAACTTTGCCAACTTGCGTAGTTTTGTCAATAACGTGACTTGTTCTTGAGCTTTCAAGGCTGCTTCCAATGCAGATGGATCAACAACATTCTGTGCCCCTTGGGTGGATACAATCCGCTGTAAGCGTTGAATTTCAAAGTCAAGTTCCGCTCGAGTTTCAAATTGGGATTCCAATGCATTTTGGTGGAGCCTTGCTTGTCTTTCCCGAAGCTCATTTTCCCGTTCAAGTTCTTGCCGTTGTTGCTGTTTCTTTCTAAACAAATCTTCTGCTTCCTGCAATAGCTGAATGACAGAATCTGGTGTCTTGGTTTCCTCTTGTGCCATTTGAAGGGGTGTTTGACCTTTGTGATTGACAAGAGTAGGATTTGCTCCTCCATTGAGCAACAGATGAATGGGGCCTGGTTTGCCAAAGAATACAGCCCAATGTAGAGGAGAATCACCTTTATCATTCTGAAAATTGATGTCAGCACCAAATTCCAATAAGACTTGGACACAGTCCCTGTGACCTGTTGCATAGTGTAGAGGAGTTGTCCCATGCTCATTTTCAAAGTTTGGAGTTATGTAATCCCCCTGCTGTTCCAACAAACGTCGGATGCGACTTACAAGCCCACCATTGCAGGCAGTCAACAATGTCGACTCAAACTGCTTTTGCTTCCATGTTTGCTTCAATGAGGATGAAGATGATCTTTGCTCCAATTTCTTGTGTGCTGGTTGTGGTTGCTGTTCCTGTTTCCCTCCATGCGGAGCTTGTGGCCTTTCTAATTCTCGTCCTGACGGCACCCCACGGGGTTTTGGTCTCGGCTTCTTTTCACCGGGAGGGAGATCTTGCAATGTCTTTTTCTTGGATGCCACCTGATTAGCTACTTTTGGTTTCGGTTTCTCTTTTGGACTGGCATGCCGGTCTTCTCGTGTCTTCTTCTCGCTTGTCCCATGATGTGCTACCGGTACTTTTGGTGGCTGACTCTTCTTGCCACTGGCATATCGTTCTTCTGCAATTTTTAGCAGTTCAATGACATCCTCTGATATTTCCTTCTCTTGATCCAATGCCAGTTGTCGTGGTGTTTGGCCATTTTGGTTTACCAAGGTGGGATCGGCCCCCTTTTCCAGCAGTGCTTTTATGGGACCTAATTTGCCCCAAAACACGGCCCAATGCAAAGGTGTGTCACCCTCCTCATTTTGAGCATTCACATTGGCTCCAAACTCGAGTAATGCCAGAACACAACCTGTGCGGGATGTTGCAAAGTGTAGAGGAGTTGTCCCATGTTCATTTTGAAAGTTTGGAGTGATGTGGTCCCCCTTCTCTTCCAACAGACGGCGGATCCGCCCTTGGTCGCCACCATTGCAGGCCGTCAACAGGGTGGACTCAAATTGCTTTTGCTTCCATGTTTGCTTCAAGGAGTCCCTCATCTTTCTCTCCTATGCCCGGCACACTCGTCACACGAAGACGCTGCAGTTTCCTTTTGCTTATTGTCCCATTGTGTTCTCTTTTAACATCTCAACGCGAGATGAAGAAACGAAGAATCCAGGTTATCCTTAACTCTACTAGATTTTTGTTTTGGATCTTTTTGAAAGGATCTTTTTGAGTATGGGCGGCGAACTTTCCAGGGCTACAGGGAAATCACGTAACTTTCCAGGGCTACAGGGAAATCACGTAGGATCGCAACTTTCCAGGGCTACAGGGAAATCACGTAGGATCGCACCGTAGGCTCTGGAAAGTTGAGAGAGCCAGCCCAATGGATGTGGCTGTTCGGCTGGCAGCACTTGGGGGGCTCCCAGAGCATCCTAGCTCTGATAGAAGCCATTCTTCCCAAAGAGAGCGAGCCATATGGCATGACAATGACATCTCGCAGTAACAACCACTACCACTAATGAAGGCAATGGCGTCGCGCCCAAGCAACAGTAACAAACAAACACAAACATCACTAATTAACAAACTACTTTAGCTAGCTAGCTAGCTAGTAGCAAACTAATAATGTAATGGCTACTAATTACTACGGTCGATGTTGTCTCTGCTGCTGTTGCTGTCGATGTTGTCTCTGCTGCTGTTGCTGTTGCTGTCGTTGCAATTTCTGCTGTAGCTGTTGTTGCTTATCTTTCTGCTGTAGCTGTTGTTGCTTATCTTTCTTCGTTTGATATTTTTGATAGCGCATTCCGAGTGCCACCACCGTGCCCTTTTGCCTTGATGAAATTGTGCTACCAATTGGTTTCAAGCCAACTTCTATTTCTAACTTCAGCAGCGTCTCCATGCAATCATGTGCTTGCAATCATGTGCTATCCCGCTCGCCGCTTCTTTTCTCTTGCTCTTGTCACCAATTCCAGTCGGACTCAAAGAAAGTTTATATTCTTCTGATCCAGCAATCTTAGCCAATCGTAAAGCATGAATACACTTTGCTCGTTTTCTCCTTTCATTGTTGCAGGTATTGGAATTTGGCTGATTGCGTTCCACTTAATTGGAGTTATATCCAAGAGAAGTCGTTCAAGCAAAATTCCTTTGCATGATGAGGAATTATTCTGAGCTTGGCGATTGCGCATCAAAAGTGCATTGACATCTTTTGGTTGTTGTCGCTGTACTGATATTGGCGCTTGTAGCTGTACTGATATTGGCGCTTGTAGCTGTTGTTGTTGTATTGGTTGCTGCTGCTGTTGCGTTGGTTGTTGCTGCTGCTGTATTGATTGTGGAAGCTGGTTGAACTGAGATCGTGTAATTTGGGGATTGGCAGGTAGCAGTGGTGATTGTCATATGGGTATTAGTCGTTGTTGCTGCTGTGTTGATTCTGGAAGCTGGCTGAATTGTGATCGTGCAACTTGGGGATTGGTAGCTAGCATTGATGGTGATTGCGATATAGATACTAGTGGTGGTGGTGGTGGTGGTGATGGCGGTGGTGCTACTGGCTGTGGTGCTGCAGCGGGTGCTGGAAATGGCAGTGGCAGTG